GCATGGTTTGCTTAGAGGAACTCGGAGTTGGATTTGAAGCATCCCAGATGCCATGTTCTCATCTCTTTCATGGCGGTTGCATAGAAAGATGGTTGAAGCAGAGCCATTATTGCCCTATTTGTCGGTTTGAGATGCCCACCGATTAGATGGATTACAATTCTGTGTTTCTGTTTTCTTCATTTGTTTCTTGTAGAACTGGTGATTGTTTATAAGTTGGTTTCGTTATTTTATCCAGAAAAATGGTAGTAATAAGATTGAATAGAAAGTTGATGAAAGTTAAATCCCAAGAAAGAAATATTAAAGTATCTGCTGATCATAAACTGGATTTTTATTTATGAATAATTTCAAACAAGCTAAAAATTGCTTAAAGGTAAAAAAAATGTTTCCAATTTAACAAAGCCTAGTTAGAATTGCCCTAACGATGAAAGCTTTACATCAAAGCTTCTCAGTTAGTTTGAATATGAAGGAATTAACAACGCCTGTATCCAGCACAATCCATGAAGACTCGAACAGTTCATGGAAGAATTCAGCTCCAGTTTCCTCGGCCGCGATCCTGAATGCAAGGCCGAATGCATTCCCTTTAAGTGCTCCGAGACGAGGCTTCCCACAGACCCCAACAATCAACACCTTGGATGGCTCTTGCAACATGCAGGCACAAAGGTTTCAGCTTTGCTCCCTTCTCTTTCAAGGCATCCATTAGAAAGTAGCAAAACTTAGTCAGAGCCTGGGGGTGACCCAACAGCTTTGTGTCTACTGAATCTTCAAGCTTCACCCACCTAAAATTTCTCCCACTCCTGATGCACCCACTCTTTGTTATTGAAGCACTCCCTTGCCTAAGAATAGCTCTTTGTATCTTGATTGCTTGCTGCATTCCAGATTTCAGCTTATCAAGATTGCATAGGGACAGTGCATCATATGCCACCCCAAACTGCTTCAAAGCACACGTGCCATCCGATTGCATAAATGATTCAAGCAGCGCAGTAACCCCATATACCATATCCGCTGCTGAAACCCTTGAAGTATAACCATGTAGGCGCAAGAAACTTTTGTAGTAGAAATCATTAAGTCCGTATTCAGGCAAAATTTGTTCAAATTGATCTTTCATCTTCTGTTTTACTTCATGATTCATGTACTGGAACTTCTGCTGGCAATCTACAAGTGCAAATCCCATCCTTGCAAGAAGAAGCTTAAGCTTCTTCATACCATTATCACTCCAGGTCTTCAACTTAGGGGCAATGTATGAGGAGCACAGCATTGAATCAAATAAATTCCACTCTCTTAACAACACAAGTCTTGGTTCATCTTCATAGGCAATTCTTGAGGAATCAGGTGCTCGAACCTTGGTACCATCTTTAAGAGTCACCGAAGTAACAGCATCGAGATTCCCTAGACTGTTAATATGCTGCTGAAGCTCCATAACCCCAGCTTCATACCTCTCATCTGTTAGCCCTTCGTGAACAAACTGATCAGTAAGTGAAACTCAAGCCAGCCAAGGCAACTCATTTGTGTTTTTCCTCAAAGAATGTGACAAATCATACATCAAACACCCTGATGGCTTTCCATGGAAAGTTCCCATCCGATAATAATCCCTTTTCAGTTTCTTAAAACGCCGCGACACTGGTTCTTCACCTTCTGAGGATGATCGTCTTCTTTTCCTAGAACTATCCCTGACTCTCCCTTCCTCCTCTTCCTCCTCGCTTTCGCTATCTTCATCTTCTTCACTATCCAACTCTGAATTATGCAAAGAATAGCTAGCATTTGCCAACTCCTTAACCTCAAAATCATAGGCCAGATCAGCCAACCGTTCATCATCATTAGTATAAAGAACAACCACTTGATCATTCTGATCACTCAAGTTATGCAAATGAATCGGCCTATGACTATCTATGATAAAAACCCTTGCAGCTGACCCTAGCTTAAGATCCTCTTGGAGGTCACGGTGGCAGCCCCAGTTTATCAAAAGCATAGGAACGGGTTCATCAGAGGAAGAACTCAATTCAGATGCTGCATGTTCTCGGATTTCTTGAAAAGAAGACACCGGATAACACGAGTACCGGACAGAATCAGATTCAAGAATATGGAAAATGATTTTGAGAGCACATAGAGAGTCAACATCGGAGGTGGACGGGAATATAAGTAAAGGAGAGAGAGAAGATGCCCCAGCTGATTCCCTAAGCCTCGAGTAAAATGACTCCACTCTTTCTTCCCTCACCATTTTCTTCTGTTTTCCTCGACTGGACGCTCAAATTTGATGGAAAATCGGAAACTTTTCTCCGGAAAATAACAAAAACTGATACCCGGAAACAAAAATCCCTCACTTTTCTTCACGTTATTTCACTAGATTGCATCCTAAATCTAAGACCTATAAGAAGAACCTCACACTATAATTCGATTGGTATCAATCTTAACTGGACATAAAAAAATCATGAAATTGGGGCAATCCTAAACAAACAATAAAACAAAAACCAGATTACAAATTGGTGATATAATAAAACACAGAAGAGCAGCGTTGACTTGAAAGAGAACTGAAAGTATTTCAAGTACCTGAGATTGAAGAAAGAAAAGAGAAGTGAAATTTTCTCCGCGCCTTTTGTTTGCTTATTTTGAAATCCAGATCTGGGAGCAAAATAAAAGACAGTGAAAAACGGAGGGGGAGCGCTGTCTTTTGCTTTAGCCGTGAGTGATTTTCATTTGGGTTTTTTGAATTTTAGGGGGTTTTCATTGAAATTTTGAATTGTTTTGAGCGACCGCGAAATTTTGACGCTGTTTGAGTTTCACTGACGCCGACGGATTCGCTTTTAAAAAAGATTAACGGTCATGATTAAATCGCCTTTTGGCGTTGGGGATGAAATTAAAAAGGGTTATATTTAGTAATTGTCCAAAAATTATTGTACAGATTTTGACTTGGCATAAACTTCATCGTTAAATCAATCAAGTTCTTCTACTAGTTTTTTTTAATTAATCCGGGGTAAGTACAAAACATTATATGTTATAAGATAATTCTCAACCCTTTAATATTGAACGCTCACACCCCTGACGTTCACGGTGCTCAAACCCGAGTCTCAAGTAATAATAATCATTCCTTTATTACGGAGACCACTCGATTCATGCTTCTTCTACTAGTTTAATTGTTAATTTAAGGCAGATGTCAGTTCGTCATATTAGAGGTGTAAGTAGCATATTTAAAATACAGTTAATTGCATCATATGTTCCCAATCCATGACCCTCATTTTAAGTTAGTCCCTAAACTTTTAAACATTTTAATTTCATCCTTAAGCTATGACTATTATTCTAAATTAGTCCTTAAACTTTTAAACATTTCATTTTCATCCCCAAGCTATGATCTTCATCCTAAATTGGTCCCAAACTTTTTGAATATTTCAATTTTATCCTAAATTATTTGTATATACTAATCACATCTCTTGTTAATAAAACCATTAGGTAAGTTATATTATTGTATGTTTGAAAAAAATTTGTTAAACTATGTTTGAAATGGATTACATATTTGGATGAACTTGAGGATGAAATTGAAAGATCTAAAATTTTAGGGACCAATTTAAAATGAGATTCATAGTTTGGGGATGAAATTCGAATGTTCAAAAGTTTAAGGAGTAACTTAGAATAAAGGATGAAATTGAAATATTTGAAAGTTTAAGGACTAATTTGAAATGAGAATCATAGTTTAGGGACATATATTGCATGTAACTCTTTAAAACATGAAGATTAAATTGTAAATTAGTATATATTTGTTATAATGATAATTTGGATCTTATGTGTTTAAAATATAAACAATGTCAATAAGAATTATTTATTTTTAATACGTCAAATTTAAATTATATGATGCTTGCGTTTTTAAATATTATTCATATTATATTTGAGCTGAATAATATTAATTCAGTTATTAAGTGAATATGATGAATCAATTAATACTTAATATTTTCAATATAGATTTAATTTTTTTTATCACAGTTGAACACCTTTGATGTTATTAATCCGATTAGACATTTTAACTTGTTTGAAATATTAATAAAAGGAAAAATACAATCGGAGATGAGAAATTAGAGTCTCCTTGTCCCATACTTTCGCTAAATTTCCTTTTTTAATATATATATATATATATATATATATATATATATATATATATATATATATATAGGTTATTTTTATTTAATCTTGAATAATTTTACATATTTATTAAATTTTTAAAATAGGGATGATTTTTAATTTTTTAAATTCCTACACTGATATATGCTATTTAATATAAACCCTAACATGATAGCTCAAAATTTCATATAAAATTTGTAACAAATCGAACAGAATCAAAATCAACCAAAAACTTAAGTGAAACCGCTATGCTTCAAAGTAGCCTTCAGGGTGCATTTAATTCACAGAAGTTGAGATTACCGGTGGGAATAAAAGATTATCAGGGAATATGATTACTGAGAATGTTGTATTTTGTGTTTGGTTGGTTTAGCAATAATGTAAGATTATTGTGTTTTGTTAAAGGAATAAAAAATAATTGAAATGTATATTTGACCAAATTGTCCTTATTATATATTTGTATAATATTACAAGTTGTAAAATATTTATATATTTTCTTTAAAAAATTAAATTCATAATATTTATATAATTTTTTTACAAAATTAAAAATATAAAAAATGTTTAATGAAAGGGTAAAATTTTATTTTAACCCCTGAACTTCATATAAAATTTTAATTATAGATTTTTTTTTTGTAAATCTAAAATAATTTAAGAATAAATTTGTAATTTAACCTTCGTAGAATTTTTATTATTCAATGACAGAAGAAGAATATTTTTGAAAAAAAATAATAATTTAAGGGCATTTTAGTCCAAAACACCAGTAATGTTATAATACCTATGGGAATTGAGGTAATGACATTCCCGGTAATATATATCAAAAAATTCACTATTGGTAATAAAACATTACTAGGAATGACATTCCCGGCCAAACCAAATGAGGGAATGTGGATTCTATTCCGGGAATCCCATATTCCCCCTCCAAACGACCCTCCATGTATTTTACAGTATCCCACACGAACAACAAAAGGAGCAAATTCGCAGGCCTCATTTCCTCCAAAATGGACAGCAGCAACCCTGGGAGAAATGAAGAAACACAGAATTAGCATGTATACATATGCGTGTGTGTAAGATTTTTAGAAACCATACCACAGCAATCAAAGTGCTCAGTGAGGTCACTGGAAAACATACCCTCGCACCGCTGTTAGTTGGTTTCCGATTACGGGGAGTGTTGCATGGAGATCGCTCACCCGGTGTTACCTTGCCTCCATTGTTCCTCTCTTCTCGCACCTGATTAAAAATGTGAGTGTAACCGTCGGCGGAGGACGGGTTATTCTCGTCCCAGTCACCGAATTTCGGAACAGCAGCACCTTTATCAGGCTGCGACACCAGAAAGCAAAAAATATTCGCATTCGAATCAGTTTGTATCAAGAAGTGTCATCGTATGAAAAAGAGCGGTTCGAGCTACAATCTCGAGAAAAGCAAGAAGAGCATAATGCATTATTATGTTGATGCTTTGCCATGTTAAATGAGATGATGTACGATGGATAAGCTATGCTTTTTCAAATCCACCAGCACACTGATTCTGTTTTATGCATTTGTGAAAGAATAAAACGGAAGGAAGGAAGATAAATTACACTTTCGTTCCCTCTAGCACTCGGCTTCATTTTGGATCTCCCGGGTGATGCCATGCTACCCCTTCCTGCTCCCCGTGCCTGGTGATGAACCGGTGATTTATCTATGCTGTTTTCTGATCCAATACTTGATCTCGTAGATCGTTTCGGGGCTTCACCAGAACTTGCTCCGCGACCATAACGAGACGGTGTAGAGTCCCCGGAAGGCCTGCGGTTGACGTTCTCATTGCGTGCCGGAGAGTCTGCGTGTTGTTTGCGGTCGTCCAATTCTGGCTTCGGTTGTGAAGCCGAGGGAGCTCTAGTTGGAGCAACGTAATCTTGATGTAATCCCGGACTCTCCTGGGGATCATTTGGGTTCACAATCATTCCCCCAATTCGACCCTGACGAGCCTTATCGAAATAAGCTGTGTAGGGAACATTCCCTTCACTCTCCCAAGTGCCAAACTTGGGTACACGAGAACGTTGCTGCAATCAATGGCAACAAAAAGCTAAAGATCAATAACGGGGTCAACGATTAGCAGATCATAGATGGGGCAAAAACAATTCCAAGATATGCGACTGTCTTTTGAACAAACTAAAGAGGAGCATGCTTATAACTTAAGCTCACACTTTAAAGCTTGGTCCTCCGTCAAATAGTAAAGCTGTTTCGATCAATTCTGAATCAAGCTAATTCCATTGAAGAATCCATTTCAGAAAATTCAGGAAACCAGATGAGCACTAAAAAAAATTTACCATTACAACATGAGCTTAACGAAGGATGAAATAGGGAACAGTTGGGCATGAGAATAAAGTAATCTAATCATTATTCTTGTCATAGATGTAAAATTGTGTTTGCATGATTCCGAAAGAGTTTTAGTTACAAAACTCTCGTCTTTCTCTTCGTCTTTTACAATTTTCTCAGGAAACAAACAGAATAATAGTGGAGACTAAACCAAAGCAAAAACAACAAAGGAACCTGGAAGAAAGATCAAAAAAGAGAAAAACTTACTGCCATTTATCTCTCCAGCAAACTTGAGAAACAAAACCCAGAATCCAAAATTGAACAAAAAATAAATCAGTTTCCTCTGTATTCAAACGAACTACAAATAAAACCTAGACAAAATCTACGACCAAAGAACCCTTCGACACAAAGAGAGAGAGAGAGAGAGGGAAGGCAGGTTTTAAAGAGAGAATTTAATCTCGACCATTGACCGGAGCCACCGGTAGTGTTTGACCATTCTCCCTCTCTCTGAAAATCTATGATGCTTCTCGTTTTCAGATCTCTCTCTCATGTCTTTCAACCCAACTCGGCGTACGTTAAAATTTTGCGAAAATTACGAGTTTAGTATTTAAACTATTAGTTTTGATTTGTTTTAGTATGTAAACTTTTATTTTTTAAATCATATATGAAATTAGTTTTTGTTTCATTTTAGTACTCTCCGTTAAAATTTTTAGTTTTTATTTTATTTTAGTAATCCTATTCAAAAGTTAACATTATTTTTTTAAAATTAAAAGTTTAGGTACTAAAATGGATCAAAATTTATAATTTAGGTATTAAACTCGTTAAGTTTTTAACGAAGGGTACTAAAATGAAATGAAATCTAACCACTTGGCATAATTTTGAAAAAAATAAAAGTTTAAATACTATAATGGACTAAAACCGACAATTTAAGCACTAAATATTAGTTTATCTTAAAATTTATGTTAAAAGTAAATTCTTAAATAAATTTAAGGTAGGTTGAATTTATACAATTTTAATGAAAATATAAAAAATATTTAAAACATATCATAATTTGATTTTTTTAAGACGACTGATTTTAACCTCTTCGGTCCATCTTTATCTAGGCTGGCTTCTTTTGACAGAATGCCACTTGCCCCCTCCTAACGCATCCCACACACTGTGTCATGCGCATATATAATTTAGTGTCATATTGTCATTTAATTTTTAATTAATTATTTAATAACAAAATGACTCTAGTGACACTATAGAAAAGTCATATACACGTTAATAAGAATGGACAAGGCCCATTTGCAAAAAGAAAAATTAAAAAAGAAAAAAAAAGTCAACAAACTTTCTACACAAAGTTGATATAATTTATTAGTTTTACATATAAAAAAATAGCAATTTGTTGGCAAAGATCAAAAGAATATTTAAATTTTGAAACGGGAAGATAATGATAGATCTAGAAATTAAAAAATATGATTTAAAATTTTATTTTTTTAAAAATGGATAAACTATGTATTTAGTACTTAAACTATTAGTTTTAGTCCGTTTTAGTATTTAAAGTTTTAATTTTTCAAAATTATATTTAACGTTTAGTTTTTTAATTTCATTTTAGTATCTCGCCATTAAAAATTTAACGCGTATAGTACCTAAACTATCAGTTTTTGTCCATTTTAGTACTTAAACTTTTTTTTTAAAAAAATCAAAGTTTAATGTTAAATTTTGAACTGATGTACTAAAATGAAACAAAAATTAAACTTTAGGTGTAGTTTAAAAAAACTAAAAATTTAAACACTGATAATTTAAATATTAAATGCGTAATTTATCCTAAATAAACTTGAAGAACCGAATACTTGTATATATATAAAGACAAACACAGCCAGTTGGAGTCCATCTCAATGTGGTAAAATTGAATTGATTTGGTCTTCAGTGGTAACTACTTTGTCAAACCGTGAATATAGGGAAGGCTTAATTTATTGAACTGCCAAACAATTTTACTATGTCCCAACTGTTTCTCCTGCGTTCATCGAGGGCAAAACGGAGTTATTTTACTGCTCACTATATCAAACATTATTAATTTTTAAATTGTAGATTAATTTCATTAGTAATTTTATAATATTTTAATTATATTTGATTAATATGAGGTACGTGTAAGATAGTAGTTATTTAAAGATAATTCTCAATCATTCGATAATGAATACTCACATCATTGACATTCCTGATGGTCGAACATGAGATCTCAACAATTCCTTTACTGTAGAGATTGTTCGATTCATGCTAAAATATTTTAATTTAAATATTAAATTTTAATTTCAGATTTAATTTATTGAGCTGCCAAACTATTAATAATTAAATTACATGATGGTCTTGTATTGATGCAGTGATGACATGAATGGAAAAAATAATCTATTTCATCGTTTTTTCTTCATTAAAGTTAGATATTCTTTTTTATCAATTTTCAGTCTTTGTTGAAAATCATATTTTTTTTAATATCTTTTTGCGTTCATCATAGATATTAATAAACTCTTTTTTTTTGTATTTTTATCATTTTATCGATTTAAATTTTGTTGAAATTCTTTTACAACTCACAAAAATAAACATAAATTGTTCGTATTTTTTTGAGATTTTTGATGTCGTATAAAAATTCAAAAAAATGATAAATATTCTTTCAAATGATATAACTTGAAATTAGACTCGTCAGATAATCATCAAAACAAATCAAAGAATTAGAACGTTAAACTTTTAGATGTAATTTTGTTGAATTTGATTATATTTCATAGAAAACCAATATAAGGAGAATAGAGATAGATGAAAGGTGAACATTTTGATTTGATATTGTCACAGTGATACACAATGTGAAGTAAATTGATATTCAATATTATTTACGAATATTTTACATCTAAGTCTTCAAAATATGAGCCTACTGAATGATGTTCGGTATTTAAATAATTATGTTTGTGATGTGTGTTGTTAATGAAAAGATTATAAACATATATTATTTTATAGTTATCTTAGATTATTTAAAAAAAAATAAAATCTTTTGATATCCACTAAATAACTACAAGAGATTCGATTATATTTAAAATAAAGTTATTATAATATTTTATTATTATTCTATTAATAAAGTAATTCGAATTCAAAATCTAATAGTCATCGTTATCGTAATTCTTTTATAACTTAAAATATGGTATTATTTTCATGTTCCTTTTTTTCCCCCTAAAAAGCAAGCCCATTAGCATACCACACACCACTAATCCCTTAGCTTAATCTACACGGATCAACGCGGCTGTGAAAAATAAATAAAATAAAGTAGGAAAAAAAAACACTAGTACATCTTTTAGTGTTAAACCCTCTTCATTATTCCAAAGGTAGATCCCCACTTCACTGACATGGGGCTTTTCGAGTTTAAGTTCAGAAACTAAAAACCAGCTACCATAACCAATGATTCCACTAGTTTCTTACTGAGTTTCCCATCCCCCCCTTTTTTATCTGATGAAATATCGATAACCACTATGTCAAAATCAAGTCATTTAGGATGATTCAGCTATTGTTCTTTGTTCTTTTTGCTGAAGGAGCAATGGCTTTCCTTCTATTGGTAAAGATCGGGCCTTTAAGAGAGCCCGTCATGAAGAGCTTAGATCAATTAAAGACGGGGAAAGGTCCTGCTACTGTGAAAACGATTGCAGGTACGATGTCTGTGATTCTTTTGTCGAGTCTCATGAGCATTGTCAAGATCCAGAACAAGGGTGCGAAGCTTGGAACCATGTCACCTATGGATCAGGTTCTATGGAGAACCCACTTGCTCGAAGCTTCACTCATTGGTATGATTCTGCTCTTTTTCATGCCACATTTGGTTTATGCATTCGCTGTTAGTAACTAAGAATCTTTTGCTTGACTGTTAAATCATTGCCTTTGTTTTAAGCCTCTTACAAAGTACAATGTTGTTTGGTGACTCTGGTTTTATGGTAGATGTTGAAACTATGAGAACAATCTTTGCAGCTGAAGATGACTGCAGGGTAGTTCGTCTTTCTGCATTGGGAAATTGCACATTATGTATCAGACAAAGCAATGATAATATAATAACATATCATGAAATCTAGTGCATAAGCTAAAAAGTCGTATTGCCTGTTTACCTTTATTGACTCGTTAAGTTGATTTCTGCGCAAAGACATTAGGAGTGTTTTAATCTTTTGATGATATTTTTTTTGTCAATGGGTCTTAAAGAAGAGCGGTAATATACGTTCTAGTTATTGATACATAATCACTTGGTGTTCGAGCAGTAATATATGTAGCCTTTTGAAACTTGGGACAGAAGATGGCCTATTTGTTTGATAAATCATTAGAGAGTTTTGGTGAGTGAAACCAAGTTTGTATTCAATAGGTGGAGATGTGGATTTGAACTCAAGACCTTTTGGAGGTTAGTTGTGGCTAGATTCAGGGTCAGGCCATTGCCTTGGCTTCCTTCACTCTTATTCTTTCTCTTGTTCTTGCAAGTGTTTGGTTGTTTCAGTCTTACGGGGTCAGTTCTCGTCTTCCTCGTGCCTATGAACTCACACATCCACAAACAATTACGGTGTGCGTTTCCTATATTTACCCCTACGGTTCACTTCATGATTCCATACCTAGAATCTCTTGGTGGACTTTTAAACGGTTCACTGTTGTCTAGATTTTATTGAGGTATCAGCTCCATGGGATGATAATTACTTGCTTTCCAGTGGAAAAATAGAGTAATCAAAACTCTGCAATTATGGACTTAACACCGTTATCAGTTGCTGCATGCTACAAATAACACAATATATATAATCTAACATTGCTAAATTTTCGTTTTATCTTCGCGTAGCATGCAGGATTAGAAGCAGTTGGAACGAATAAGCGTACGCATGTAACATAGCTGACATGAGTATTCTCACTATGAACTTTACCCGTCTCGTGCAACTAGTATGCTCTCATGTCATAAGCCTTTCTTAAAAGAATTGTTAATTCCGGATTAACCAAGCAAAGGTTATACTTAAAATGCATGCCAAAATTAAAGTTTAGGTTGTCTTGTAATAGAAACCTTGCTTGAAATTAAACAGTATGAACTGCGGTTCTGAGCATTTGCTGATCTAAACTGAATAAGCTTCATGCCTGTAATATTGACTGAAATGAATTTTCTTTTCTTACCCCTTTATTTAGTGGTATTGGTGCATAATTGTGACTTTATGAGCTTGATCTTGTAGGTTTTAGTCTGTTTCTCGGCTTCATAATTGATCGTATGCACCATTATATTAAAAAACTTATCGGGTTGAGGAGTAGGGTGGGATCGTCGAAAGAGGAAGTCGAACGTCTCGAAAAAGAAAGATCACAACTTAAAGATAAGGACAACAAAGCCTCCAAGGAGATAAAGCTACTGAAAGAAGAAATCTCTACCCTATCAGATAATTTGAAGAAGCTGAAATCAGAATCTGAAGAGAAAGACAAGAAGATCGAAACTGCTGAAGCACACATCGCTTCTCTTCAAAAACAATCTGCGGATTTGCTACTCGAGTATGATCATTTATTAGAAGATAACCAATACCTTCAGAATCATGTTTCAGGATACAAAGAGTTTGAGGAAATTTTGAAGGGTTCAGAGAGAGAAAAAATCGTGTTTAGTGTACTGATTGGTGTTACTTGAGGAGACTTAAAAGGGATCTGTGCAGGGGGGAAGTAGGCCTCTGCATTGTTGAAAATTTTCCAACTCTTGAAATGTTAATTCTTGGCATAACTAAATTTAGCTTTATTAAGAGCAATTTATTTGAACATTAAAGAGTTAATTAAGAAGCAATCATCAGTAAGATAGTACTAAACACCAAGCAAAAATAAAAATAAATAAATTATGAGCTATTTTTCTCACATTCAGAGGCAATTTGGTTCCCTGATTTCTTCTACAGTGCCAGTATGATCCTTCACATTGGTGCAGTTCTCTAGCCTCAATTTCCCCCCTCATCAACCCTGCTATTGCCGACGAATTAACTTTGCTCAATTAAAAAGGTACAACAAACCCAGTACTAAAGATAGGCCATGCCATGCCTTCCTGTTAAAGGTATAAAGGAGGGCACAGAAAGGAGTACTTACCTGTGTACTGAATCTGTATGGAAGAAGAAGAGCTTAATTTACAGAAGGCTGGATTTCTTCGCTGCATTGTCGAAGGCAGTTCGGAGAAAAGAACCTGCTAGTTCCTGCAATTATCCTCAATCCACAATCCTTGCAACAAAACAAACTTGGTTCAAACAGTCATTATCCAGCAGTGAGGATCCATAAACCTGAGTTGTAGAGGCTGAAAGCAACAGGAAGCCCTTCAATTGACCATGAAACTCATCTCACGGTCCAATATATCCAAGGCATATGCTATAGCTTCATATTCATGTTGCCTTTTATCTCCCATAACGAAAGCATGGAGTTTCCCATTCACATCCAGGACACTGTATCCAGGTACTTTCTTCTTTCCCGAGTTTTTCATGAGTTTCCTTACTGCAGCTACTTCATCCCACATGTTTCCCTTGGCAAAAAAGTTTGAGACCAATGCATGGATTCCCAAGTCATCTGGATTTAACTCAAGGACCTTCTTTGCTGCCACCTCCCCAATGGACAACTTCCCATGATTGCAGCAGCCAGACAGTAGAGCAACCCAAACGGCTGCCCCTGGTTCATTGTTCATAGACTCGATTAGTCTATAAGCTTCTTCCTCTTGTCCTGCACGAGCTAAAAGATCAACCATACAGGCATAATGCTTCTCAGTTGGTTGGATATTATATTCATTAGCCATCATATTGAACCAGTATTGACCTTCGTTCACCAGTCCTGAGTGGCTGAGAGCCGAAAGAAGTGCAGCAAAAGTTGTATCATCAGGTTTTAAGCTCATGTTTGTCATCTGATGGAAGAGTGATATAGCTTCCTTTCCATGCCCATGCACCCCATAGCTGGCAATCATTGCATTCCAAGAGATTATATCTCTAGAAACTATCTGATCAAAGACTGCACGGGCATAAGAAAGTGATCCACATTTCGCATACATGTCAATCATTGCAGTGCCGGAAACCTGTTCCAAATCAAGCCTTCTAGTGATACATCCGTGTATCAATTTACCCAGTTTTAACAACCCACACTGTGAACATGCCATAAGAGCACCTACAAGGGACACCAAGTCTGGCTTAAATCCGCAGCCCTGCATCTCTCCCAACAACTCTAGTGCATTTCTAGCAAAGCCATTCTGAGCAAAGCCAGAAATCAATGCCCCCCAAGAAATATTGTTCTTAATAGGCATCTTCTTGAAGACGTGCAAAGCATATTCCAAATATCCATTCTTCGCATACATATCGAGAATGCTAGTGTGAACCACGACATCCATGGAGAGACATTTCCTAATCATATATCCATGAATAGCAAGTCCCAACTTTGAGTCCCCAAGATTTACAGATGCCCGAATCAACCCCAACATCACAACCCCATCTCCTTCCATCCCTTCCCTTAGCATTTTTCTATACAAATCAATCGCCTCATTTGTCCGCCCACTCTGCACAAACCCTGTTACCATAGTAGTCCAACAGACAAGATCCCTTCTTGGCATCTTGTTAAACACCACCATCGCGTCATCCATTTCACCACACTTAACATACAAATTCAAAACAGAAGACACTACAAAGACATCATTCTGATATCCGAAATCAACCGCTTTACGCCAAATCTCCTCCCCCATTTTCAAGTCCATCGAGCTAGCACAGGCCTTAATAGCCATGGTAAAAGTGGAGCTGTCAGGCCTAGTGCCTTCCACCATCATCTGACGATAGAAACCCAGAACTTCTTTTGGAAGTTTTTTACGAGAATAGGCAATGATCATCGCATTCCACGAATCTACGCCTCTATTAGACAATTTATCGAACACTTTACGAGCTGATGAGATATCGCCAACTCGCTCATAAGATGCTATAAGATTGCAAACGGAGTTTTTATAGATGCAAAAGCCGGTTAGAATCATGAAAGCGTGAATTTTAGCTATGGATTTTTGGTTTTTGCAGGTTAATAGAAGAGGTTTAAGATGCTTTCGCCATTTAAGAGCCTGCATTTCGATGGAAGTTTAGTTATAGACCTTGCATAAAGATCGACTGAGGAAGGGAAAGAAAATAGGCGTGAATTGGAGGGACAACGATGAGTGAAAAGAGGAAAACAAACAGCTCTCTGTGGGAATCGAACCCACTACATGGTTAAAAATAACACGCTTTACCGGCTGAGCTAGTATGGCTTGCGAACTGAATGGTGTTTTGTATTTATTTGTAATATGATTAATCTCGAAGATTTCGCAACAATCTTTTAGTTTAGTAGTTTCAAAGTGCAGAACAGAATAAAGTGCAGCTGCAGCTTCTCCAGCAATGGCAGAAATCTCAGAAGCTCACGACTCGGATTCCTCGAAATTACAAGACAATGGTAGTGAAGCACCACAACGACCCGAATCTGAACCGGACTTCGACCCAAAATTAATGCGTAAAACCAAACCCGGATTGAAGCGCCTCTTTCTTACCTTTTCCGTCCTCTTCTCCTTCCTCCTTGGTCCGCCTCCATATCTCTGACACAGCTGTAATTCTAAATTTACCCCTTTTTTCTTAATAAATTAAACAATTTTTTTTCTTTTGTATTGAATTTGCAGGTTTCCCATTCTTATGGAAGTCCGTTGAAATCTACCGTTCTCCTCTTCCGTTTAGCGAAATCGACTCGCTCTCGACTCAGCTACGATCCGATAATTTACTATTGCCGCTCCATTTCCACGCCCTTTTCGTCGGATTTGATTCCGATCCCGATAGCGTCCGTCGGCCAATCCTATCCGAAATTGCCAAACCGACCTCTCAAAACCCTAAATGCTCCAACAACTATACTCTCTCTGTCACCGTGGATTTAGGCTCACGTTGCCTCCGCAGCCCAACATCGTCTCCACATTCGAGTTCTTACCGGTGCGGATCAATCACCGCCTCTGATTTTGTTCAGAACGATGATGTGGCGGTCGATGAGAGGCTGGCGTCAGTTTTTGGCGGGAAAAACAATGGGTACAGTGTGGTGGTGGTGAAGGGTGGGAGTGAGAGAGCTGTTGTGGGGAAGCATAGACACGCGTGGATGGTAGTTGGAGATGGCAGCGAGGTGGAGGTTGCAGCCTTGAAGGTTGCGGAGCTGTTGGTGAAGGTGTTTATTAATGGAGGAAGGGAGGAAGGGTCGATTCAGAACGAGTTTATGCCCGTAGGAACCAATGGGAAGATAGTTCTTTCCTTCAATTTGCTCAATGCTGATCCACGTGATTGGGTTTATGATTGGTATGAAGCATTTTGATGTTAACTTTTGCTCATCGTAAATTTGATTGATTTTAAAAACGTTTGTTGATTTTGTTTCTATTAGGTTTGTTTATGTTCAACATCTTTAGTTGAAGAACCGTTTGATAGAATTATTCTAATTTCTAAACCAAACTTGTTTTAGTTTGAATGTTATGGTGCTGCTGCTTTTTGCTCATCTGATATTTCCTTGTACTGGTCTGCAGGGATTTTGAGAAGATAGATGATACCTTGTTGGCCCCTATGATTGAGGCTTTGGGACCAGTGGCGAACATCAGTGTAGAAAGTCAGGTCAAGGGTCATCTTCCTTCTTAATTTCATTCGTATCTTGTATTCCGGTTTTCTTCTGATGGCGGTTTCATTGGTCTCATATGTAGGTTTTGTACCATACACCAAAGGCCTTGTTCTCTTATTGGAATCAAAAGTTGGAGAGCTATGTCTTTAGCACCAAAGATCTTCCTTTCTTTGTATGCATCTTTTAAGTTCTTCTTCTGCTTCTGTATATTATCAATAAAAGAATGCTGCATTTTATTTGGATTACTATATGTTTATGCAATTATCGCTTTTTGGCCCCAGGAAAATTTAGATATTGCAAGTAACGAAAGTTCTCATGATTTTAACAGGTAAATTCTAATGAATGGCACTTGGATACTTCAATTGCAGCTGGTGAGCGCTCAAAGATATTGCAATTTGCGGTGTATGTTCTTTTATTCGATGCTTCTTTTATTTCCTAACTGTAGCGGACGCATATATTGAACTGTAAGGGACTATGGGTGTTGTCAATGTATTTTTGGTTTGATGTCCATTTTGTGAGAATATGTTGATTCAGGAGTGTCAGCCAGCTTTGATATGCCTTTTCTGATAACCTCTCTTGTTCACTCTCATATTTGTGATTTGCTTGCATGCCTGTTTCATTTTCTCGAGCTGTTCATTTTCCTCTTTGTCGCCAGATATGTACCATCTGCAAAGGAATGCCCTCTTCTTCTCCAGCTGCCAAATGGAGAGATTTCTAAGACAAATGGCTTTGTATCTCCAGTTAGTTATCAAGGCTTTATTATATTCTTGTGTTTCACTTCTAATTATTCTGTGGGACTGCATTACCTTATTGCCTCTCATTTTAGATGTGGGGAGGTGTTATTGTTTGGAATCCCCGAGGCTGTTTAAAGGATACAGATTTCGAGTCCAGTGCCAAGAACATAATTCCAATACAGGTTAGATGATGGACCATGGAAAAGAAATGTGTAGTTGAATGAGTAGAAGTACACGTTCTTTTATTGCCGGTGGCTTCAGTTCAGTTTTCTCTACTTTGATGCATGAACATTCTTAAACAGGATCTTGAGAACATGTTTGAAGTATTCATTGGGCAGTTCCGGCAACTTTTTGGTTTCAAATCTGTCAATGTTTATGCTGGTGCATCAGGCGATTGGAATCTTCTGCCTAGTGAAAGAGGTTTTACTGAGTGGTAAACATAAAATCCTATGCAACTAACAAGCTATGCCTAATATGTTGTAGTTCCAAACAAATAATGGATTAGTCCAAACTGAACTCAATTTTGTAGTGGTTTGATCGGCATGCTTGTTCTTTGTGGTTGCTTAAGCCTTAAATTCTATCCAATATTTCTTAAAAGAATAAACAGTCTTCTCTAACTTGATCGGTTGTTCATTCTATGTTCGAGTTTTCTTACTTTCAGTTCTTGTCCAGGGAATTGGATGTCTTGTCGCGGCAGCAAACATGTTTTAATCTCCATTCATGTGTTACGACACTTGGATCACTTTCGAGATTGGTATGTGTTCATCAGTATTAAAAAAGAATTATCTGATTCAATAAGACTTTTTGCTACTGATGACAAATTTTAATGCAGGTTCAATCACTGCCAAGGATGATTATCATGGATGAGATCGGAAAACAGGCAAGATACCAAGTTTGTTTATCAGAGTAGTTGCATTTGTAACTCTGAAAATAACGATCAAACTATTTATGGCGGAGTTTTTGACTAGGTAAAGTTTTCTCTTGAGGATGCAAAGCTGGCACTAAGTAATGCTTCTAGTGGAGAGTATGAATATTCAGCTGGTATTTTCCTAAACTTACCTGTAGATTGTTTCTTAATTATCTGCTGTCCAATATCTCTTATCGGTTAGGCTTCTAACAAACGGTTTATGCCTTTTTTATCAGCCTCCTCTGGTAAAGCAAGGTCTCTGGCAGAGGATGCCTTTTTGCACCCATCGATTATGTCTGTTAGCTACTATTCCTTCGAGCACTGCTTTGCTGTCTACTCGGTTAGTTAAATGAAACTTTCATGTCTCTCTCTTGATAATAATTGAAGGGAAACTGAGATTTTCTTACAAAACCATGTTTTTCTTTACTTTTGGCTATTGGAGAATTAAGTTGGATTGATTGGACTCGAATGACTAGGCTCAAACTCAATGGCTGTTCTATTTTTGCAGCCCTTCTTTTTGCCGGTTTCAATGCATGTTATGCTTGCAGCTCTGAGAGAATTGAGACGATATAAGCAAGAAAAGGCAAAGTACCTAGCTTGGAAGGCTAAAGAAAAACCAGCATCTTAAGTATTTCCCTGGATGGAAGACTGACATCAAGCAATAGGGAAGATACTATAAGGCATGGGAGAAATTCAAGCAACAATACAAGATATGAGACAATTTTTGAAAAACTCTATGCAGGTTTGTATCCATAGAAAATTTAATTAAATCTGTTGAATTTGAGAATATTTTCATGAGTCCAAGTTTTGGATATATGCTGATTTACTGAAAGCTTACAAAAATATAAATTAAGACAATGCAGCACATAAGTTAGTTTGAAGTTTATAATCACTAATGGGCTAAAAGAACCACCCACGACCTATTTTTGTTCATAAAACTGAACATGAAATACCAATAAGAATTGCTACATATGCAGAGGCTCTTATATGCCAAAGTACAGCCTTGCAATCTTCTAGGATTGGCCATTAACTCATCTTCCGATTCAACAAGCAATGACCACTCGTTGCTGGATCTCCAAATATCAGCTTCTTGACTCCAATTCATGAATTATTTTCTTTCTTGGGCCCTAGAGGTACAAACATAAAGATTACTGAGACTCAGTGTAGGAAAGAGAAAAACAAGTCGAATATAGGGATGACAGAATGCTTTCAATACATGCATGTTAAACAAAAAGAATGATGAAGTGAAGGGTTGATAGGCGAAGGAAGTTCTTTAAAGACATTGTATAGTACTAAAGATGGAATTAAAGTGATATACAAGAATTTTCTAGAACTCCCTTGGGGACCAATTATCGGTACATTCCAAAAATACCAATTTCTTTTCAAGAGGCCAGCATTAACTTGCATCTAACTGTTAATACCTCCAAACAATCATATGCACAGAAGAAAAGCAAGGAAGATGAAGGGGGTTTTCTAGGCAATGTAAAAGAGAGAGAAATAACATTTGGAGCATCTCAAATTTAAGAAATTGGACAAAAATGATTTAAAGTTACCATTGGTATGCCTAAAGCTTTTAGATCCTCATCAGTCACGTGCACAAGTGCAGTCATATCAACCTGCAGAAAGATGTTAACAACAGATGGCAGAAATTTGTTTAATTTAATACAATGATAGTAAAGAAAAGGGGGTGGGGTAGAGATAATATAACATAGGATGGTAAAACTACGTACTTCCTTAGCTTGAAAAGTTATTGCATATTTTTCAAGACCCGAAGACTGGAGGCAGCCCTCCACTGAAGCATCAGCCTGCATAAGAAACCACACGACTTAGATACAAAAAAATATAACTACACAATAATGTATATTGTCCAGCCTCATCATAACTGAAAAACATGGAGGAATGCCTCTTATGTCAGAAACAACAAAATAGAAATATGGAAGTGCAAGCATGGAGACATTTACCATTCCATTTAAGAGAAAACCGGAAGTCAACTGAAACTTGCCCAAAGCCTAGCTGTTGATGGTGTCGAACAAAGTTAAAACATTGTTAAAACATTGCCCAAAACATTGTTAAAACAAGTAATATTCTTTGACAATAACAAATTGTAACAAAATGATTGTCACAATAACACGTTAAATTTAATCAAAATAAAAAGTTATGTCAAATTCATTTTGTCCTAATATTTTGTCTAAATAAAAAATTATGACAAATTTATTTAATCAAAATAACAATTTATAACAAATATTAATTTCTCATTATAAAAAAATTATGACAAATAATATTCTTTCACAATAAAAAAATTGTAACAAAATTATTTAGTCACAGTAAAAAGTTATAAAAAAATATTTAGTGATGAAATAAAAGTAGTGAGAAAATAAATTTTGTTGTAATATGTCTTTTTGTCACGAAAACAGTTTTTTGTTTAATGCTATAATTTAACTTAATTGTGACGAAATTTATTTTTTGTGATAAAATAATTATTTTATTTTAACAAATATTTTGTCTCTGTAAGTTACATTTAGTGACGAAATAGCAACTGCTACAAAATAATTTTTGTTACCTTATGTATTTTTGTCACAAAAACCCTTTATATTTGATGTTTAAATATAAGTTAGTTGTGACAAAATGTACTTCTCGTGATGAAATAGTTAATTGATTGTGACAAATATTTTATTGTGATAAGTTAATTATAATAACGAAATTTCATTGTTACAATAAATACTATACAATGGTAACGAACACAATTTTGTCACAATATACTTTACATTACAAGGTTGTTCTAACAAACATGGCAACAAATAAAATTAGTCAGAATAAATATATTGTGACAAATTTAGTACTTTTAATGATAAATAATTTTGTTGAAACAATCAAAATTTCTTGTAGTGTGATAGGGATGCTAAATGAAAAGTGAAAGGGAAAATAGCGTACGATGATGCGGTGTTGGGGAAAAGGGGGAAGCGACCTGAAATTTTTCTTTATCGATGGGAGATCGTGCGAAGCGAAAAGTCAATGAAGAGACGAGGTTGGCAGATATAATATCGGGGAATGGTAAGAACGACCAAAGTGTCACGGACTTACCTTTCCAACTAGGTTTGCAATCCGTGTAGCACCTGAAAAGGGACTCTTTCCAAGTCAAGTCAGCCTCAATCCTCAATGATCTGTCCAAGAAATAGCCACATGAGCCTTAGGATTATTGCAATAATAGAGTTTCCCAAGCCAAGGTTAGAGATCGTGGGGCATAGCAGATGCATACCCTACGACCTCACATTTCTTGTTGGGAAAAAATAGTTTATTATTAAAAAGCATCGGATTACATTGCCATACTCACCCCACACCACCGACTAGGCTGTAGGGGCAGCCCTCGATGGTGTGTCTACACACATACATTTACCTGTGAATCAACCCAAACTCTGTCGGCTGTCCACCCCCTACATATATGCGAAAACAAAATAATAGAAATGCTACCTATATACATTAAAACGCTCGAACTGGGGACTATGTATCCTACCCCACCTTCTCTACCTAAACATTGAAATGTTTGAAAAGATGACAAGCTTATTATACCCTGCCAATAGGCCCTATACATGGTTGGCCTTGGCGTACCTATTTGGTTGTGGCCACATAAGAAAGGAACGTCCACGACATTCTACCCCACCCAATTAGTCGATGTCATCATCGACGAGTGCTTCTCGAACCTTTCCCTTTTGACGTTGAGTTGAGGACTTCTCTCATGGTAAAATTCTTCCTTTCCAACTTCGGCAGCAAGGTTGTCGGTACTACATACGGGTTCTCTCCCAACAACATCAAACAACTTGTAGATGGCATCGAAATAACTCGTGCTGACATCATAAAATCGATACCTAAGACAACATCAAAATCATCCATCGGAGATATGGTAAAGTCAACTTCCCCCTCCCATACTCCTAGTTTTATATTCACATTCTTAGCGCTCCCACATATCGCCACAGCGGATGAGTTCACCGCCTTCATCTGCCCATCTTCCTTTGTAACTTTCAATCCGTACCTCATCGCTTCCTTAGGGGAGATGAAAGTGTTGGTTCCTCCAGTGTCCACCAGGGCCCTTGAAGTTATTCCATTCACTACGAGATCCACATACATGAGGCCCCTAACTGGCTCTTTCCTCAACTTACTAACTTGAGTTTGTAACACACACAAGAATCGAATCGAACACATTATAGCCGGTTCATTTTCAATATCTTCTTCAGACGGATCTTGTTGTGATTCATTCCTCGATGTGTTCACCAGCGCATTGAATGCCCTCATATGCGGACACTCAGCCAATCGATGAGAGACCTTACACAAATAGCACTCCAAGGATGACCTGGGTCTTTCCCCACTTTGCCTATATCCATTCTTAGGATACGAATTCACAGATTGCCTCGATTTATCACCACTTTGCTTATACCCATTACTTGACATATTCAGTGTTGGGTCTCGGAGAAAAGGTCTCTTATCCGCTTCCCAACTGAAAGCTCTATCCCTTCTAGCCACCTTATTCCCGTTACTCAAATTTATACCATCATCACCCCTAAACAAATTGTCCTCTCCTTGAAAGGGGCCTTTTCGTTTGACTATTACATTAGTATAATCGCTGAGACGCTCAGCGGCATTCATAGCCTCAGTCACATCCTCTACTTGTTGTCTCTAGATCTCTGTTCTAGCCCACGGTTTAAGCCCTTCCAGGAAATAGAACATTTTGTCGTTTTCAGCCATGTCTCGGATGTCTAGCATCAGTGTTGCAAATTCTCTCACATATTCACAAACAATCTCTGTTTATATTAATCCCCTCAGCTTCTTTCGTGCATTGTACTCCACATTCTCCGGGAAGAATGTTTTCTTCAATTATTTCTTCAAATCATCCCACGTTTTGATGGAACACACTCTGTCAACAAACTTGGACCGCCACCATAATTTGGCATCTCCTGCAAGATACATTGAGGCCATAGAGACCTTGTCCTCTTCGTAATTAGCCTGCATCACCTTAAAATATTACTCCATATCAAACAAGAAATTCTCTAACTCTTTAGCATCCCTGGTTCCGCCAAACCGCTGAGGTTCAGGTACCTTGACCCTTTGACTTCTGTCAACAGTGCCTGAACCCATATTACCCACAACGAGTTGAATTAAATTGACTTGAGCCTTGAGTTCGTCGAACGCCTCCAATACAGAACTGATTGCATCTTGTGCTTCAGCTTTAAGTTCGTTTAATGATTTTGAGAGTAGAGTTTGAGCTACCTCAATCACTCTAACTCGATCCTCCGAAATTATCCCAGCTTTTAGTGCCGCCACTTCGGCTTCTAAACTTTCAATTCTGTTATGGTCTACCGAACCACTGGAACGTGTTCCAACCATTTTCCAATATATGTTAAGTAACACTGTAATAATCACAAGTAAGTACCAGAATGCTTGGAATATAAATTGTCACAACACAAATTTTCCACCATCCTTGTGCCACAAAGTATCGCTTCGATGTCAACAACACGAATAAGCATTCTTGCACAAATATTACCATAAAGCACCTTTGTGCTACATAAAGCAAGATCCCCTGCCAAACATTGTAATTACGTGTGCTTGTATTGTTACTCGGATGAAAATATCCCTGCACATTTTCATAATTGAGCAACATTGTGCCTAGATCATCTTATTTCACCCAGCCTACTCCCCACATTAGGGCGCTTGACGTAAGATCAGGTCATCCTGCCTACTCCCCTCTGGAAGCGCTCGGCATGAACTCTGTCTATCCTGCCTACCCTACACGTTGGAGTACTCGGTGTAAATCAAGAACACCCTGTCTACTCCACACATTAGAGCGCTCGGCGTAAGATCAGGTCATCCTACTTACTCCCTTCAGAAAGCACTCGGCATGCATTGTCTCCCCTGCCTACTTTTAACGTTGAAGCGCTCGGCGTGATATTAAAGCACATCTTATTTCACTCGGCCTACTCCACACGTTAGGACGCTCGGCGTAAGATCAGGTCATCCTACCTACTCCCCTCTGGAAGTGCTCGGCATAAACTCTGTCTACCTTGCATATCCCACACGTTGAAGTGCTCGGCGTGAATCAGGAACACCCTACCTACTCCACATGTTAGAGCGCTCGGCGTAAGATCAGGTCATCATTAATACTTCTCTCTGGAAACGCTCGACATGTACACTGTCTCCCGTGCCTACTCTCAACGTTAAAGCGCTCGGCGTGATATTAATGCACATCTTATTTCACCCGGCCTACTCCACACGTTAGAGCGCTCAGCGTAAGATCAGGTCATCCTGCCTACTCCCCTCTGGAAACGCTCAGCATGTACTCTGTCCCCCTGCCTACTCTCAACGTTGAAGTGCTCAGTGTGACATTAAAGCACCCTGCCTACTCCACACGTTAGAGCTCCCAGCGTAAGATCGGGTCATCCTGCCTACTACCCACTAGAAGCGCTCGGTATGAACTCTGTCCCCCTTCCAACTCTTAACGGTAAAGCGCTCGGCGAGAATTATGAATGCCCTGCCTACTCCACACGTTACAGCATCCGGCGTAAGATCATGTCATCCTGCCTACTCCCCACTGGAAGCGCTCGCCATGAACTCTGTCCCCCTTCTAACTCTTAATGGTGAAGCGCTCGACGAAAAATAGGAATACCCTGCCTACTCCACACGTTAGAGCACCCGGCGTAAGATCAGGTCATCCTGCCTACTCCCCACTAGAATCGCTCGACATGAACTCTGTCCCCCTTCCAATTAGGTTTGCAATCCATGCGGTACCTGAAAAGGGACTCTTCCCAAGTCAAGTCAGCCTCAATCCTCAATGATCTGTCCAATAAATAGCCACATGAGCCTTAGAATTATTGCCATAATAGAGTTTCCCAGGCCAAGGTAAACTACATAAATGGTAACTTTTGTTCTTGGGATAAATTATTGGTAATTGTATTTTTATAAACCCAAAATAATTCAGGAATAAAATATTAATTTATCTCATTTTCCCATATGTTTTCTTCCCTAAACCTTTGCTTCATCTCTAAACTCGAGACCAAGTTTTAACAAGGATTTGTTACACCAAATAAGCTACTTGATACGTTGGGGGAATCTATAAAGATACAAAGAAATGTGGCAGAAGAGATTTTATATGATTTTTTTTCCAAAAAAAATACAACTTTAAATTGAGATCAAGATGCCCTACTTCACCATTGCAATCAACCATGCTTAGAGTTGTTGCTTGTTCGATTTGCACCATTGCTTGAGGAAAGAATCATAGTAAGGTCGATATTGTTCGATCCGAATTCGATTTCGTAACACCTTGTCGGAGAATTGAATATTCAAAGCTTACCTTTCAACAGATTTACAAAACAATATAAGCATCATTTCGAGGAAAAGAAAAGAGATATAAAAAAGAATTTGTTGTTTAAGCTCACTTGATATGCTAGTTCACAATTGAACTTGAACTCATTGAAGTTGTCGTGGGAGGGGCTAATGTGAGGAAATCTCCATCAAAGACCCTATTTGAGGATGAACAATAATATCATTTCCTGAAAATAATACAAAAAAAGAAGTTTTTTTTAGGAACAAGGAGATTAAATTCGAATCTGAAAATTATAATAAAACCTGAAATTATGGATTCTCAACAAAATCTCTCCAAAACTCTTCCTCTTCTTCTTGTCCTTCGCTCACCTTCTATTCTTCATCTCTTTTTCTTCAAGTCCCAATTACAAGCTCATTTCCATGTCCTCGACTCCTCCAAGCCAAATCACTCTTTCTTCGCCCGACACGCACCCTCCGTGATTGACTTCTCTGTGTGGGAAGCACCCCAGTCTCCTCAAAAACCCTTTTTCTTCTTCCTACTTTGAAGCTCGTCGTGGCCTCGAGTGCTAGACTTGACCACATCGACTTGCAAGAATATCGCCACCGAGGCATTACCGTCACCACCGTTGGTCAAGCTTTCTCTTAGGATGTTGTCGACTTTGCTATTGGGCTTCTCATCAATGTTCTCTGACAAATTTCAGCCAGTGATCGGTATGTTCGGTCCGGGTCGTGGGTCACAAAGGGAAAATATCGGTTGAAATTTTTAAAGTTTAGTGACCAAAACAGAAAAGGTAAAATAATTGAGTGTGAATGGTTTAAACCCGATTTAAACAACATTAAATAAAGGAGTTGGACTGCTTGACATGCCACGTCAGCAAACTATAACGGAATCATTGGTCAACGACGGAAAACGTTAGTTAAATGGCTACATTGAGTTCTTTGTTTGAGTTGTTGGGTCACATTGATAAAAAAAATGGATAAGGGCTATATGTTTTTTTTAAAGTTTAGGGGCTTCAGGTGTCTTTTGGCCATTATTTTATTATTAATAGCGTGAACTATAATGTTCATTTGACTTGAGTGGCACGTTTGAGACTAGGTGTCGGCTAAAGACAACTTAAAATGGGTAGAGTCGAGACTGGTACGTTATGAGTCTCTCGGGCTTGAATTGAATTGGACTAACTAAATTGTGGGTATATAACTAGAAACCTAAGAGAAACGGTTGTTTTGGCTCAATACCCCAAGCATGTTAATTATTTAAGGTATTGTGCCTCCAACAAATTTATTTTGGAAACTACAGCAATTTCTACCGTTCACACCGAACTCATCATCTCGAGGTGACGAGTTTCATAATATATTATTTTTAAATTGACCTATAAAAGTGGGCTCCATATGGGCTATTATGTTAGTATTATTAATAGGACTCGTCACTTTGACATGAGAAGTCCATTAAAATATTTTTTTAAATTACGAAAATAAAATATATAAATTAAAAAAATTAGATTGGGTGACGAGTTCCTTCAAATTTAAAAACTAGCCTTTGGCTAACGGCCACTTGAAAGTCTTCACTTTAAGATGATGAGTTCGGTTGGATAAAATTAAAAAAAATTAAAATTACAAAAATAATTTTAAAAAATATAAAGTAATTAAATAAATTCAAAAAATAAATATTTACAAATATAATTTATTTATATTTCCTAAGTTCTTGACGATGTTGCGGAGTAGTGGAATGATAATGTCGCGGGGCTTGTTGAGTACATCGGGGTCGTAGGCCTTGATCGTCGCCGTCATCATAGCCGTTGTCTTCTTCTTCTTCTTGTCGATGAGGTGTACTTAACACACTCAATCCACATTCGAAATGTTGTGATGGATTTATGACATTCGACGCCATCATTATCGTAATTGCTTCGATTTGACTTCTACTTTGTTGACCATATAGGATATCATGTTCCGTCAAAGATGCTTGAGTAAATTGCAGTGCATCTTATGAACCTCCAATCCAATTCGATCGAGTCTCGACTGAAGTATGAAATGGGGGATAGAGACTGAAACTAGACTGAGATGCATAATAGTACTCTTCAGCTGCAGATGCTAAAGCGGAAAAAGACGACGATGATGCTTTCTTCTTGGACTTGGCGCATGTGGCCTTATGATGTTCTCATTCTCCCATTTCTTACGGTGTCGTGAGATATGATTTTCCATTTGCTTCGTAATTTCAGAGATAGAGAGAATAGTCAAAATCTAGGTCCAGCGGTGTAATGTCGAAACACGAGGGAGCGATCGTTCAAGCTGATTTCATTGCTCCATGTATCTAGCTTGTTTCACCGGCTAATTTTCGGTATGTTTCACACGCGTATCGATTCTATGGAGCGCGTCCATATCAACCATCATCGTAGGAATTGGTTGATGCATCACAAACTGTCGAATCACTCTGTAATACCCCAAATTTTGATTAGTGACTAAAATATAAGTTTTGAAAGTTTAAGGGCTAAAGTATAAACTTTATAAAAGTTTAGGGACTAAAAATATAATTTTAAAAAATTATATATTTTAGCCATTAAATGAATAGATTTTCCTAAAACAATGATTTTCATGAAAATTAGATTTTTGATACGGGATTTGTGCTAAAAGTTATAAAACGATAAAGTTTGGCATTGAAATGGGATAACTGGATCGAGCCGGAATTTTACGAAAAATTGAAGAATGTTAGAAAATGGTTGGAAATATTATTTTCAATTTATACTAAAGAAATTTGGCTTAGAACACTGTAATTTTTTAAGATTTGGTTGAACAATAGATTAGTGACTAAAATGCAATTTTCAAAAATTGCATGGCCAAAGTAAAATCTTATTTAAAAAACCTCAAATTTTTTCTCTATTATAAAAAAAACTCAAACCCTTAAAAAATCATGAAAACATGACGTAAGAGTAACTAATTCATTACAATCAACAAAAATCCTATCCTTTGCTTAATTTCTCGTATTTAAAAAAATTTGGAGAGAAAAAATCTAATTATACTGAATTGAAAGAGATTAATTTAGCCAAAAAAAAAAGGGAAATATATTTTTATTTCTTTTTTATTAACTAATATGATCATAAAGTAGTATTTGCTCTTAATCATTTGACGATTAACGTTCAAACATCTTTACTGTAGACGCTGATGTTCAATCTTATAATTTTTAAAAATAACCATCATTTCTTCAACTATTTAGATAATTTGGTTAACCCGGAAAGATAATTTAGACTAAATGTTGCTGCTGATAATGGTGATTGGTGGTTGTTAAATTTCTGCTTAACGCGTGGCTTAATGATTGTTGTCAACTTGTCATTAATTTCTCATCGATTGTAGCAAAAAAAAAAAAAGATGGAAAAACACACTTGTAAATCTTATTTGGATGCACAACATTCTAACATTTATTCAATTGTGGACACCCTTCAAGCGTTCGCATTCAACTGATTGTCAGTGTCTACGTGATATATTCACTACAGCTCTAATTTTGGTTCACCTTTTGAAGAAGACCGAAGTAGGGGTTCGTCATTGCAGAATTTAACAAAGAACCAGCATGGTTTAGCAGCCGTATATCAACTTTATCACGTGGAAAAACCAAGAACTCGTTCCCTTCACTTCTCTCGAATCCGCAAAGCTCGAGAAACTCGATCCCTCCTCTCAAGCTCCCAACCCTTTCCTGAATCGAATTAAAGCTTGTCGTCACAAAATAGGTAAGAAAAGCACGGAGGAGGTCTCGATGCTATCCCACCGGGCTAAGGCATGTTACCTGGAACTTCGGGTTACCAAGCCGGATCTTCCTGAACTTTTCCTCGTCGGGACTCTTTGCGACGTTTCCGACATAAATCAACAGGGTTTGGAATGCCCTTTTAACTCTGTCATTGTCATCCTGGACTCAAAATAAGCAGGGATCATGTTGCTTAAAGTAGCATACACTAGATCCGGTACATGAAAGGGAAATGCACTTTAGGCCTGCAAATTTAGTGTCTAAATCTGGTTCATGGAGATACATTTCAATGCACATGGTCACTCATGGAGCAAATTACAACACATATGATATAGGCAGTCGATTCTTTCGTTCGATTAGCTGCGAAAATAACGAGTTAAGAAATCGGTTACCTTGTAAGCTAGCTTCAGAGATCTTAGGCATTCTCTCAAACGGTCATCCTTCTTAACAGACTTAACAGGCAAGTAATTCTGCAATTTTCAACAGGATCAAGCTCAGTATGATTTCTTAGTCTTCCTTGTGTTTAGAGATTCCATTTGAAAGATATATAAACCTTTTCTTCTTCTCGTGCAATAGGTCGAGTTGGATTCGCGGCTCGGTTTTCAAGTGGCAATCCGAGTGCTCGTTTTCGTTCCAACTGAGAAGTTACAAGAATTGATTGAACCACAATCAGTTTCAATAACATAACGACACTCAAATAACATACACAAACAACATAGTAAGTAACTGGAACAGACCTTATCCACTTCTAATTTCTTAAGCACTCTCTCCCTTGCCCTTTTCTCTTCATCCTTCTCGACTTTTCGCAAGGCCGTAAGGCTGATAAATTGTACATCCGGAAGTAAATAGCTAATTGTGTCATTGCTTTAAGAAAGTAGAGTTGCCGTAAGGAATACATATTATACGAACCGTTGTCGTTCATTTTCCTCGGCAATCCTCTTTGCTTCTTGTAGTGCTTTGCCTGCTCGAATCCTTTCCTGCACAAAGTGTCTCAGATACCAAGATGCAAGCAATGGCAAAACCAACAAAATGAAGGATTTCACAATACCTTCTCCCTTTCTCTTTCAAGTTTCTTTTCTTCTTCCCGATTTTTTATCCGAACTCTATCCCTAAGAGTGATCAGCTTAATGAGAATGTAAAGGAACAGGTTGGAAAAAAGGGTAGCATGAGTTTAACAAAGGGAGAATGCTTTCATCACAAAGGGATTGCTGTGCTGAAGGCAAACCTTAGTTCTTGTTCTTTGATTTTTACTGCTTCTGTGATATCATCGGGCTGAGGGGACTCAATATCCACGTTTATTGCCGCCTGTGACAGGAGAAAGAAAACCTTGTGAAGGGGCAAAATATATCAACAACACATGGATCTAAAGTTTCATCCTTCAATAGGCCTATATCCGGGGCGGATCCGAAGGGGCTGGAACAGCCTTAGCCGGTTGGCCACCGTAACTATGAAGAAAACACTATCAAGAAAGGGAAAGGCCATACCAGGGGCATCTGGTCAATGTCTGGATCATCCTCGTGATCAATGAGCCAATTCACAGCATCCTCAATGGTAGTATTCCCTGTATCAGTGGGGAAAAATCATATAAAAACATACAAAAAAGTCACAAAATATCTCTCAGAAGAAAAAACCATACTAAGTCGAAAGCTAACCTGAATAATGAAGTCCCCGAACTGCTCTGGCTCGTGGGAATCCCAATGATTCAAGTTCACCAAGTAACTTCATACTTACTTCCATAACCGGAATTTCTTTCGTGCAATGTAAGGGAGATGGATTAACAAAGACATACAGAAGAATTAAGAAGAAGAAGAAGAACCATGAATGAACGACACGTACCTTGTTGGGGCTGCATGGAAGACATGGTTTAAGAAGGCTAAGGCTAAGATAGTGGTTATCGGAAAATGAACAGAAATGGGGTTTAAATGATTTTAAATGGATTCTTAAAAGAAAACCCAACTTCATAAACCATCGAAGTACATATTCCAAGCATTAGAAAACGCGGGCAACTTCAGGTAATTTCTTTTTGGTTCTTGCTTTTTCGATTGGCAACATTTTTATTCCCTTGCTATACTTTTCGGGGCGACATTGATATAGCTCACACGCAAAGAAATTTGCTCCACACATAACCGCCTTTCTTCCTTTAGTTTTACCTAGCGTACGGTTTTTCGAGCCTACTATCAACGATTTATGTAAACAAAACTATTTATATCTTGTCACGGACATAATCTCTCAATTCGGTTGTCACGCAGCGACACTTAAAAGAATTTTTTTCCAAACAAATTAGATTTTTCTTCAATGATCAATATTTCAAATTAATCTGCCATACAAGTGACGTTATACTCGATACAAGTCATTTCGAGATCCCGCCAGGTATAACGAATGATAGAGTGCAGCCTCACTCCTCAACTAAAAGCGTGATATGAGGCCCTCACTTCAAACTATCCTCAAGTATTTATCCTAGAGAGACGTTATACCTTCCTCTCATTTTGAGCTAACAAGCGGAGCTATTATAGTGTAAGTGACATTCTCCTAGACTCATGTAGTATCTAGGTGTGTGGGTATTAAGATCAAGTGGACGGTACAATGTCTTTCTAAGATTACCTAGGGACAGTTTGAGGCCGATTGACATCAAGTGATCTCAATGGTAAAAAAAAAATGTAATTCTTTCTATCGGGTTCAAAGAGTTACAAGGGTGTGTGTACATTATGACTACGTTAAGAAAACTCGAAACAGATATTATCTTATAATTACTTCAAACTAGCTTTGTTAAAACTCAAATATAATTTATTTTAGATAATTGCACACACCTATATAAGTTTCCTTTGAAGATGTAACATCAAATATGTTACAAAACCACAAAATAACAGTCTAATTTGATAAATATGAAGAAAACTTATTACTCCAAGAACTATAATCCAATTTAAACATTACTCGTTGTAATTATTTCAAACATCAAAACATGAGGTGTTATTTTCCTCTAAAATAATCACCTCTCGAGAATTTAAAGTTAAATATATCATGTATGTATATAGAAAATAAATTTGTTCTCCAAATATAAATTTTTATTCTATAAGGATTATTTTTTAAATAAATTTAATTAACTAAATTTTCGATTATTAGAGCCATAATCAAATTTAAATTAAGTATCAATTAAAAACTAAGTTAATGGGTAACAATTTACCTATACTCTTTCACAATATTAAAGATTATATAAAAATAATTTTTATTTTAAATGATCACGCATTTAACAATATCAAATTACGTACAAATCAAGTGTTTTCTGTAGTAAATGAATTTTTGTTATTCTTAGAGGATATGGGGTCGAGCACTATTGATATCAGGGGTGTGAGCGTTCAATGTCAAAACGTTGAGAATTGTTTTTGAATAGATATTATCTCAGATTAATAAAAAACAATATCAAATTACTAAAAAATAATATTAATTTTTCTCAACAATCATTAATACGAAGGGGGAATCAAGGGGCCCATTTCTTTTGGCTCATTATCGAATGTCAATGTCCCAATTCACACCACCCAACTAAAACAACCCAACGACCCCACATCTTCTTGTTTCCCCTTAATATCTTTTTAAAAGCCCACCACCACGCGCACCTCCTCCAATTATTCTAATCTAAAGGCAGGTATTTCACACTTTACCCGAAACTGTTTTTCCCAATCTCGATCGTTGACTCACGCCATAAACAGTCGCGTGAATCAGTCTCCCGGCAAAAAAAAACCTAAAATAGGCAAAAATAAAGTAAGAAATCTTAGCATAATTAATGACAGATTAACAAAATTTAACCTCTCAGAAGAGTCTTCTATGTTTTGCTTAATAGTAATAACGTGAAGCAAAAACAAAAAGAGTTTAAAATATATAAACGTTATATTTTGTCTCGACCATAGATATTAGAGCGCATATCTCAAGTAAAAGCAAAGAGTAAAGGCTGCTGGGAAGTAGCACTGTAGCAGTGAGTGCCGCTTCCACTGCTTTCTATGATAGAAGTAAAATATTGGTGTATATATATATTTATTAATATTTTACATCTGTATTTGCGTGTGGGTGATTTGATTCGCTTCGATATATAGTGAAAAGGAAGAAGAAAGAATTGTCGATCTCTGTGTAACGGTTACTTTGAGCTTGTTGTTGAAGAAGTGAAGATTTGAGATTAAGGGAAAAAAGGAGTGCGATTTGATTCAGTTTTTGAAGGGAAGCAGAAGAAAATGGATTACAGCTACGATCGGTAAAGTTCTTTTTTTCTCTTTGATGTCATTTGGTTTTAAAATGCATAATATTGTTTCTGGGTTTTTCTTGTTCTTTTTTGTTTTATAATTTTATGACAATTTTTTTGCTTTTTTTGGGGGATCAATGCTTTTTTTCCGTAATGGTTTCTTGTTTGATTTTTTATTTTAAGTTATTTTTAGTGTATTAAATGCTGCAATTGGGATTTATTGGATTTGTATTTTGTACTGTAACTAAAATGCTAAATTGAAAGAGTGAAGGTGTGGGAACTTATTGAAATGGTGGGTCACTGTGGCTTTTTATTTGTTCTTTTGCTTTTTGATTAGCTTAAACACCAATGCTTAAAAACATATAGATTGTGATCCCTTTTCCTTTCTTGTTAGATCTAAATGGTACATGTGTCCTTTTTGTTACTATACATGTAAAATTTGTTTGGATCATAAATAATTATTGGATCCAATGCTTCAATTTTTCTTTTTGCCCTTTTTCTTTTTGTTGTTTTACTTCTGAGTTGGAAATTTTTACTGTTTGATGTTGTTTATCTCGATAATTTCCTAAACTTATAGAAACCCCATTTAAGATTTTGGTTAATGCTTGTAAAATGTAGCATGGATTCCACTTTGGTAAAGCATTGGATGATTCATTGTGAAGTCTGCATTGGCTCTTTGCTTTGGTCTGATTGCTTTACTAATATTTGTTTATCGTTTGATCGGCGACAGGGAGCCCTGGAATTGGCATGACGAGAATTATGGTGTTCAAAAGAACAACGATTTTGGTAACTTACTACCTTAGATTATCTAGTTAATGTATTTGAAGTAGCAAAACGAGTAAAAAGATCAAGACGTAGATTATTGATGTCTGAATGATATCTGAGCAGGTGCCTCCCAAGGTGCATGGACTCAAGTAACCTTGAACGAGGAAGACCTTTCCTACATGTTTGATGAAACAACCCCTGTTAAGGAATGTGGGGATCTGTCATACCGTGTTACTCATAATGGTATGCTTTGTTACTTAATATTCTTTGTAAATTTATTGGCATCGTAACACCTAATCTTCTATTTCCTTTAGAAGTAATCACTAATAAGATTGCAACTTTCAGACAATGTGAGTAAGGAATCAGAGGATATTAGGGAGACTGCTTCTCAATTTAAAAGACGTAGAATGCTCCTATTCGACACTCATGCATCAGATTCTTCCCTTGTGTGTGACGAGATGCCATCCGCTTTCCTGAAATCAAGGGTGAGTGCTAGATAACTCATCTAATCCTGTGAACCTGAAAGAAGCATGCCATATTTTCTAAACTTTTGTCTTTCAACTTTGTTTCTAATCTCTGACATAGATTTATATACCAGATGTGAATCATGGTTCTAGAAACGAATTAGTTATTGTAGTTGTTTTGTATTACTGAGAATAGAAACTCTATTATCCACATTGTTTTGTGCATTCATTCACTGGCTAGAGGTTGCTGATATCTACAAATTTTTATTGTTTCTACTAGTCACTAGTAATTTAAATCAAGTTCTTGACTTCTGCCTAGTCTGGTGGCCTTTTAGAAATATGCATGATAGATCAATGTCTGGCTACTTTCTCAAGAGATGCAGTCACAATTTATGAGTATTGCTTAAAATGTACCATGGTTATTACTATGTTTTGTTAATTTGTTTCTTCTTTCCATTGTTAGGAAAGGGATAATTTCATTGAAGAGGTCTTACCTAATGCATCTGAGTGGGTTGCTGGATTTTCAGGTTTCTCATGCAAGCCCATATGAATAAATAAAAATCAACTTGATCTAAATGCATACTAGGGTTTTTAATCATGAGAAACTTTTGCAGAAGATGCATCAGCCTCCGGTTATGATGGCCTACATCAGTCATGTGAAGGTTGGCTTGCTGAATATTTTAATGATGCAGATATGCTTCTGAGCTCTGATGATATGTATGCTTCTATGGACTTTCAACGTTTTTGTTTGATCATGCTATGAATGTGTTCTGATTGCTTTATGATATGAGAATCAGGAATCTTGCCGGTGCATCTGATGTTCAAGTTGATACTTCAGGTACATTAGTCCTTTTGTTCTAAAGATGTTGTATACAGTGTGCTGTTGTTGTCTTCAATTTTTACCTTCGAATATATTTCCCGTGTCATTGTTCCATCACTCTCTCTCGGTTTTACAATGAAACTCGACTCTCCATTCATAGGGTTCTGCCATGACCAACCTGACTCTGGGTCTGATGCTATTCGAAAGCAGGAAACTCGAACTATCGGAAATGTTGTTCTCAAAGGTAAACTATCTTGTTTACACTCTCGTTTAGTGCTATTGAATTTTGTTTTCCTTTTGATTGTCATGTCTTGGCACATTCTATCTCCATTCTCCACCCATCTATTCCTGCCTTTTTTATAAAGGGCAAGTATAAGCTTATGTGAATTGCGTGTGTATCTATTTCGAAGACCATGTCCTTTAAGCAGGACTCAATGACCTACCTTCATTTTAAACGAATACTTTACCTCGAAGTCGGATTAACACTGTCAGATTTAATTCAGGCCGGAAATCTTTCATTCGGATGCCCCCCACGGTAGCATCAGCTGTTGCATACCCATTTGCTTTCATTAAACCCTGTGGTTTCCACGGAGATGTTACGTTGAAGGACATAAACCAGCGAATCCAAACTCCACCACCAGCAAAACCAAAACAAAGCAATGAAGATCATGCTGATGCTTTCCCTACTTCTGCTTTCTCCGGGAAGCCTGTTGTTGGCAAAACTAAAATTCGTACCGAAGGAGGAAAAGGCAGCATCACAATTATGAGAACCAAAGGCTGAGTAGCTATAAATGATACGACATTCGAGATCGACTTATTTTCTTTCGGTTTCGGAATAGACTTAATCAACGCTTTAACCAGTAGAATTTTTGTATTCACATAGTATATCGATGTATAAAATGGTCACTGGCGTCAAGTTTTATGTTGTCCCACATCTTCTGCTAATGCATGTCTGCTGAGCTTTAGTTGGACTCAACAGAACATTAGTTTTCTGACCGATAATCAACCGTCGTCCTCGGAACTTAACCCACCTACACTGAAGAGCATTGTACTCTTTTCTCTATAGAGGGAGGGTTGTTCGGGCTTCAAGCTTTGAGTCTGAAAATAGGTATCAATAGGAGATATGATAACAACTCCAGCCTTGTGTCATTACACCAGTGTTTGAATTGCTTTTATTATGATGTATAGTTCCTATTAGGAAGAAAAGGTTTAATTGAAAAATAATTCCTCAAATCATATTTCTCTTCTTATTTAGGTGTTTAAAGTTTTCTTTTTGTCAAAATAGACACCTAATGTTTTATTCTGTTATCATTTTAAAATGTAAAATACTAAAATGTAATTATATTTTATTTTTCAAAATTTTATGGGTTTCAAAATAGACACCTAAGTCGTTTTTAGGTGGGAAGTTAAAGGAGAGTGGCGTCCACAATAATGGGAAATCAAGGTTCATAAATGCAGACAACTTCTGAGCAAGGCTCTGGCTGAAAATTTTGTATTATGCTTTTATGGGGCAACAGACTAGAGAGTGGAGCCGCATGATTTATTTAGGGTAGAATATTTATTGATACGCTGGGGCTGCCTTAGCCCCCACCTCATTAACATTGCCAAAAGCCCCATTTACTCACCTCCTGTGTTCATTGTGCCCCAAACAAACTATCAGATAATGTGGTCGCCAACATTTAATATATTCTTTTATTAATCTAAAGTTAGTGTAAGGTAATATATGTTATAAATACATGTTTAGATGCTTAAGTTATATTTCAAATTTATTTTTGGTGTCTAAATTTTTTTTTGCTAAAAATAGGTCCATAACGTTTTCAAAATCTGACATGTGTTAAGCATACAATATTTTTTAAAAAAATTAAAAAAATATACACTTTTAGGTGCCTAAATTATACCTTAAATTAACTTTTGGTGTCTAAAGAATCTTTCGTTAAAAAATAGGTGTATGATGTTTTTCTCGTTATATTTTTAGGTGTTTACCGTTATGTTTTTTATTTTTAATAATAAAAAATATTATTTAAAAAAAACTCTCCTCCGCCTTGTCCCTCTCCCTCCCATCCCCCACCCGACGATGACGAAGGGTCAATATCGACTGAATTTTGTTCGGAGCAGGGCGAGGAATAGTGGTTGATCGAGAAATATTTTTTAGGGTGGGCAAATATGTGTTAACGATATAAAATTTTTAAACGGGACACATACAAATAAAATTTTAAGATGATCCCGTTAATAAAATAAGTAACTAATTAAATAAAACTCAATTTTTTTCGCGGCGCTTTTCATGGCGATCGATACAGTTTCACGGTAAGTGGGGGTTAGTTTTTGGTTGTGGAGGGGAGACGGTTCTAACGGTGTCGACGATGATGGTCACGGACCGAAGGTGGTCGATCGATAGTGGAATTTTAGAATTTTTTTTATTTTTTAAATCATAATATTAAATCATTTTTTAAATATTTTTTTTGAAATTTTATATGCATGACAATTTTTTGATAGTGATCAAATTTAAAGGCCGTTACGGTTTAAACACTTTTAATGTTAGAAACATTATACACTTATTTTAGTGGAAAAAATTATGTGTCAAAAATCAATTTGAGGTATAGTTTAGACACCTGAGTATATTAACCCTTAAAAGTAAAAAAATAACGATAGACAGTACAATAGAGAAAAAATTAAATATTTTTTTCTAACGAAAAATTTTTTAAATAATAAAAATCAATTTAAGGTAATAATTTAAGAGCACATAAAAGTATAAAAAGTGTATTAAACCTTTGACGTACAAATGTTTTGTTAGTCCAATGTTAGTGTATCAAGCCTTTGATACACATCTTTTGTTAGTCCAATGTCTTAAGTTCTCAAATCACTCTATCTTATAATGTTTATGAGTGATTATTTGATTGAATTAAATAAAAGATATTGAATTATTTAAATTCATCGGTGTTATTTCGTTATTGAAATTTTGTTAAAAAAAATCAGATTCGAAATTATTTATAATTTTTTAATATTAGAAATACTGTTTAGCGCATGACAAGTCAGAGTGAGAAACAAACAAGATTTGTATTATAATCACCGTGTTGTTACAATTGAAAACGAAAAGACGAAGTAGGCTTTTGTCTCCTTCAGAAACCACGAACTTGCTCGCTCCCCTCTTCCGTCTGAAGATGACCGGTTTTTGGATTACGTGGAGCGCCGTTACTTAAATTCCAATCAGCAAGACAAGCGACAACTCTCATGCTTTTCCAACACTTCCGAAGCTAAAGCCGGCGACACCTTTGCTTTTCGGCCGACCGATTCATCACTTGTCATTCAGCTCTAGACAAATATATTAGGATAAATTAAGTGTTCATCAATTCGATTCATTTTAGTATTTAATTTTTTTTTCAAAATTATGTTTAAAAAAGTTTAGTTTTTATTTCACTCGTAGCCCGCCCTTAACATTTCTGTTACAACTTGATACTTTTTATAGGTAAATTACATAATTCATCTCTTAATTATATTCTCTCTGCTATTTTAGTTATTGAAGTTTAATTTTTATTTAATTACTCAATTTTCAAATTACTTCTAATTTAATCACTCTAACTTTCAAAAAAAAATTATTTCAACTATATATTCATAAAATAATAAAAAAATCATGTCATAAAATAAACTAAAGTGATTAAAATATGAGTAATTTGAAAGTTGAGAATTTAGATTGAACAATTTTAAATTTTAATGGCCAAAATAGGAGTAAGAAAATAGTTAAGGGATAATGATGTAATTTACCCATGAAGAAAACTTCATGCACAAAAGTTCTAATAAATTTTTAACGACGAGGTGGGTACTAAAATGAGACAAAAACTAAAGATAAGTATGATTTTAAAAAGAACTAAAAGTTTAAATATTTAAGCAAATCAAAATTGATTATTTTAATGCTAAATGTGTAGTTTATCGTATATATGTATAATATGACGGCCCGAGCGCAGAAAATAAGAAAGCCTGAATATTTTGAGGTTAATATGTATAATATGACGTGATATGGGGATAACAGAACATCAATCATGATTTTGACAGAGAAAGTAACGAAGGAAGATAAAGTTGTCAACTGTGTTAAGCAAAATCATCAAGAGCGACATCATTCGTTTACCATCTCAAAGATTTTAACAAAAGCACGTACAATAATTGCAACAAAAAAAGGGGAAGGGGGAGGGGGAGGGGGAGAAGAATGAGATGAGATGATTTCAGGTTACTTGAATTAGAAAAACAATCACTGATTTTTTATTTAATTGTTTTTAAAAGATGTCAAGAATTTCCATGATTATGCCGTTGCATAGCGGGCAGTTAACTCGCTGAACCCAAAGCTCCCTCGAGCAAACCCGACAAAACGTGTGGCCGCAAGGAATAAACGCCGCGCCTTTATGCCTAACCATGCACACGCAACACGTGTGCTGCATCCCACCGCTCGCTTCCGCCGTGTTTTTCTCCTCGTATTCTTCGTCGTCGACGGCGTTTTCCGTCGTGTGTCTCATCGGTCCAATCGGCTCTGTTTCTTCCAAAAAGTCCATCAATGACATCCTCACCGGCTCCGCCGTCGCTGCTTCTCTCGCGGATAATGCCCTCTCCAACGCTAATGCCGTTCCGAGTTGGCGCGTCTCGTTACGCGCCATAGGAGAGTCGTCGTCTTCGCTGCTCCCGGCGCCGTTTCCCGCGGTAATTTCCGTCCTAAACCTTCTCGACGGTGGAGCATTACTCTGCAAGTCGACATCGTTCTGAACCCGGTTGTTCCCGACCCCACCCGAATCACTTCGCGCGGCGCTTTGACCTCCGTTCACAACACGAGCCGGGTCGGCCGAGGGAGAACGAAAGGAACCGTGCCGCGACAACTGGGATCTATTATTACCATCAACAATGACATCAGAAGCCGGGACATGGACCGAGGAGGTCCATACAGAGACCGGTCGCTTGAGCCGGAGCTTGTCCCGTAACGTTTTCCAACTCTTCTTTTCCCTGTTAAACTCATCGCCTCGTATAATCTCAAGAAGGGTACGGCTCTGTGCTGCAGGCGATTGTTCAGGCCGCTTAGCGGTTCCCAAAATGGCTTCGAGAGTTAATCCGGCCAGAGTATCCCGGCCGTCATCGACCGCCATCATCTGCTCAAACAGCGTCAGCTTCCTCCGGCTACCACTTTCCATTGCATTACAGTTTCATTAAGAAAGAACGAAGAGGAAAATCAGATAGCGCTCAGTTGTTCATGATTAGTAATACAAAAATAAAATTTTAAAAATGTACAAAAAAAAATGGAAGATAGAATAGAAAGAGAAAGTTCTTAGAATTCTTGGAAATGAAAGAGTGAAGGAGAAATATGCGAGAGTTTGTTTGGCTTAAAATACTCGGATAAAATGCAGAAGGGAGATGTTCTAACGAGAGAATTAAGGAACCAGAAACTGTAATTAAAGGTTAAAATGATGATTACAAACAGAGATTTAATAAACACACATTAAACATTGAGATCCACGTGGTAGTTAGTCGGGTTGTATAAACACAAACAATCTTATTTTAACTTTATTATTTACATTATAAAATATAAAGGGTAAACAACATCTTTAATACTTAAACTGTTAATTTTAATTGATACAAATACCTAAATTTTTTATTTTTTTAAAATCATATCTAATGTTTAGTTTTCATTTCATTTTATTACTCCACCATTAAAAATTTAATGCGATTAATATTTAAACTATCAGTTTTGGTCTATTTTAATACTTAAACTTTCAATTTTTTAAAATTTAATGTTAAATTTTGAACAAAAATACTAAAATAAAACAAAAACTGAATTTTTAACGGTTGAATACTAAAATGAAATACTTTAAGTATTGTTTTGGAAAAAAGTAAATATTTAGATATTAAAATAGACCAAAATTAATAGTTTTGGTACTAAAAGGAAATTGTACCCAAATATATAATTGAAAATTCAATGCTGCAAATAATTCCCAAAGACAGCCGGGTTAGCATGATCTCTACTACTAGCGGCCAAAATCTAAAACCTGTTTGTTCTTTATACCAACTTTAGCGTGCATTATTGTCCAGTATTGCCTTTCATGTTTCAACGAATAAAATTAAGGTTTGATGTCTTCCCTTGTATTTTAGTTTAATTTTAAATTTTACGAATTTTCTGTTATTCTTACACTATTAGTTTATTCTCAATTAATATTTTTAAAGTTTTTTACTTCAAATTTTATATATCTATGATCTATTTTTTAAATATATTATTTTTTTACATACAAAACGAATTATAATTATTACCATATATTAAATTTTACATTTATTGCAATGTTTTATTATATTAAATTATTAAAACAAAACAATTACATCGACAGTTCACGTAACTAGGGGTGTAAATGAGCCGAGTTGAGCTCGAGTATTGCTGAGCTCGACTCGACTCGAAAACTCTGAAATGGAGCTCGACTCGACTCAAACTCGAAATCCTGAACTGAAGCTCGTGAGCAGTTCGAAAAGGCTCGAAATGAAAAAAAAAATCTTAAACTTAACTCGATTAAAGCCTCAAACTCAAACTCAAACATGAACCTTAAATATATGAAATCTTACTGTATTTTTTTTAAAAAGTCAATACATAAATATTAATATTATTATTAATTTATTTTTTTAAAAATAAAATCTTAATATATTATATTTTCGAGCTGCTCACGAGCTTTTCGAGTCGAATATCGAGTAATTCGTTTCAGCTCGTTAAGAACTCGAGTTGAGCTCGAGCTCGAGTCCATTCGATCCGAGTATTTATCGAGCTTTGATCGAGTCGATCTCGAATAACTTGCGATCTGTCTCGTCTCATTTTCAACCCTACACGTAACGTAGCTGGCCAACCGAGCTAGCTCTATAGAGGTGGGAATAATTAAGTATTAGTTTGACTTTAGACACGGTATGTTTAATTTTATCTTATCTTAATATTGATGAGCTCACATGTAAGACCCGTATTATTTAATAGCTTAATTAATGGACCACCCTTATGCTTAATGTTCTTCTGTTATTATATGTTTTGAAGGAATCCACTTAAACTTTACGCCAAGCCTATGGGTTTTACACTCCAACTTGTATTTTTTTTCTCGTTATCGTGAATTAATTAGTGCATTACTATTAAATTGAGGTAAACTACATTATTATATTTTAAAAAAATATCTTTCTAGAACTATCAAACGTTTGTCGATAAGGGTTTATACACATTTGACGTAATTTTGAACAATCAAATTTGATAATTGATACCTATGTATACACATTTACATTTATATGTATGATAACTCTAAACATGCCTCTCTTTATTCTATAGACAAACGAATACAAGAGCGACAATTTTGGCCCAATATCGTAGGTAGATTAATTATTTAGTCTAATATGATATTAAATATTTTATTTTGAGAACTACAACATATGTTACAATAACTTAGAACTCGTCACATATACGTCACGAATTTTAATAAAATATATTTTCTATTAGAATTTGTCATCCCGGCGTGACAAAATCCATAAAAATTTTATATTTTTTAGATCTCGACACGTCGACGTAATGAGTTTGAATAAAAAATATTATTGGGAAAAAATCGTCATGTGGGCATGACGAGTTTGGCCTGTATTATAGCATTTATCGTGTATTTCATATTAATTTTAGAGATTGACTTAATGGATTAATTTTTTACCCGCATTGCCTATAGAGTCAATTTTGACCACAAGGGGTTCCCCTAAGTGAAAGCAAAACAAGAATAGATAAACGTAGGCCCAAACATAAACGGCCCAAAATAATAATAAATAATAGTATAAAATACATCTCAAGTCAACAATGATATGTTATAAACGAAATATATTTTTTAAAAAGATTATAATTTACATATTAAATTAAATTATTATCATAAACATGTCACTTCTATTTTAAAAATGAAGTATAAATTTAATGTGACTTAGTATAATAATAATTTTGATCCATAAAATTTATATATTCTACAAATTATTATTAATTTAAAATAATTCTATTAATTTATTTTTTATATTTAAAATTTATATTGTTTTATCTATTTTTTACGATATTCTCAAATAAAGTGAGTATATGGAATCATATCAACAATTGAATAATTGTATCAAACCATAAATCAACAACAAAATTACTAATATAAGAAATTTACCAATGGATATCAATCAATTATATGTTAAGCAATTTCAACTTGTAACCTTATAAAATACATGTGTAAGTAAACTTATAACCAGAAAATGAGTATGATTGATGATATGTACACAGGGATGGATCTAAGCAGGGGTGCGTGTGGGTGATCGTCCCCTAAAAATCTAAAATTACCATATATATTAGATTTTTTCTATGTATTTTATGTTGAAAATTTGTTTTTGCTCCTTAAAATTTTATAAGTTCAAGTTTGTCCCCTTAAAATTTTATAAGTTTAAATTCGCCTCCTAACTTAATCTCATGCGTTCGTCCTTGCATGTACACTCTATACTTCATGCATTGAAAGCAACAACAATATATGAAAAAGGGTATTCTCAAAATGTACAATAAAAAGTAAATTCCATATGAAAGTTTATTTAACGTTCCTACCTCGTGTCTCATACAACACAAACAAAATGCTCACTAGTAAAATTTAACACAATATAAGATGTAGAGAGTAAATGAAAGCAAAATGAAAGTAATACATAACATTTATGACAGAGGAACAAACATTCTGAGAGAAGATTAATGATTAAATTAGATAAATTTAAGACTGAAATTATTATTATATTAGACCACAACACTAATCCGTCTAATATTCAACATTATAATGACATGTTTGCAATACTAATTTTAACTGATCGACTGAATTATAATCTTTAAAAAATGATGACCAATTTGAAACCGAACTAATTATTGCTGACTTGGAGTGTATATTACCCTGAATAATATATGAAACAAAAAAGGAAGCGGTCGAGAAAGTCTCCTCGAAATCGGACGGTTAGAAAGAGATTAATCCCAAAATCCCTATTTCCACAAATCGAAGGGCCTTAAATCGCCACCCAGTAAATTGGCAGCGACTGTTAGCCCAACTTGTTTCAAATTTTATTTTATCTATTATAAAAAAAATCATTTTTTAGTTGCAATTTGTCCTGTTGATAAGATTTCATTTCCCCTGTTTTGAGGGTAATTTTAATTTCTCACGCTCTCAATCTGTTTATTTATTTAACTATTCGATTCTTCTGTTGAGTGTTTCATCGTTTTGTTGATTCATCGATTCCTTTCAATTTTTCAGCGGTTAACGTTTGCTGATCGCAGCTTGGTTTACGGGAAGTAATCATGACTCATATCCTTTCGATTTGTATGATTAATGCTTAATTCACGAACTTTAGGGCTCAACTGTTGTCTTTTAATGGATGTTTTTAATCTCATGTTAAAACTCTTTAACTTTAGCTAACGCGGCAACCAGAGAGATAGAGATCGAGAAAGGGCTCAAGCTCGAGCGGCCGGCAAAGGCAAGACCAAGGACGATGGGTTAACCGCTGAACAACGCCGTGAAAGGTTTCATCTCTTATTCTTCTCTTGTTCTCACTTTTTTTATTTTTAGTTTTGCAAATGCCAGTCTCTTCCGTCCTTGATTTTGGAACTCTGAATGAACAGAGATGCGAAGGCCTTGCAGGAAAAGGCTGCGAAGAAGGCGGCGCAGGCGGCAACCGGAGGGAACAATGCTGGCGGCGGCGGCGGCGCAAGTAAAAACAAGAAATGATTAATGCAACGATGTCAGGTTGTGAATGATTCACCGCATTGTTTTGACATTGATTTGGAAATCAGATCTTTGTGTTCCTTTAGGATCTTCTTCAGAGTGTTTGCCTTCGTCGTCTTAAGCTATTCACAGGTGTTTGCTTAATTGACATTGAATTCTACTGTTGAGTCTTCTACGTAGCATTCTTCAAGTCATTCCTTTTTTCTGTCCTCTTTGGCACTGTTGTTATTGATTCCCCGTTAATAAAACCCCTTTCGTAATTTTGATCATCTTGTTGGTTTGATTGTTCTAATAGATTAGTTCGGATCAGTTCCTTTATTATTAAACATATAAATTCAGTCATTTTACTATAGGGTTAATGGTCCTTGAGGTACTTAAATTTTTTTGTCAACTAATTTTGTATCTAATGTGGCCCTTAGTTAGTATCATGTGATCATAAATTCTCATCAAAGATCCATGAAGAGTTATTCCAAGTTGGATTTAATTTAATCGTTTGATCTCTTGCATTAGATATGACCATCCAGCTCAGTTGGTAGAGAACAAGGTTCTTATCCTTGGGGTCGTGGGATTGAGTCTCACGGAGGACATTTTATAATTCGGAGGTCACCTACGGAAGCTGCTCTCAACCTGACGTTGGGGTAGTCTACTATCGTACCTCTCCTTACCCTATTACATATGGGAATAAGGGTCAACTAATTTTTTGTTTGATCTCCGGCATTAAATATGAAAATAATATATTTAATATTAATATTATTTTAATGTCAATGTCAATATTATATTAAATATATTAAATTAATTTAAAATTGTTTTAGTATTAGCGTTATTTTAATTTATTATGTTAATATATTATAAAAATAATATTTTATTAAATTTAATAACAATTAGAAACAAATATAGGTCAATTTCATTTTACACAAAAAAAGTAGGGATTAAACTAAAAAATAAAACATAAGAGATTTGACATATAATTTACGTCTTTTTATTGTAGTTATTAGTACTTTTGGATCAAAAGTGTCACATAATGCATTTCGATTAGTCTACATACATTTTTAATGATAAAAAAGTATGACAATATAATTAACTGTTTGAAAATTACGGGGATAAAATATTAAAACAATTAAGTGGTAATTCAGAAAAAATAATTAAGAGGTAATTCAGTAAAAGTGGCCAAATTTAGGAGGTAACTGGATCTCTAAGGGGTGTTTGGTTCACGGAAAGATCATTACGAAAGAGAAAATATAATTATTTAGTGGGTGTTTGGACCTTTATGAGGTGAAAATATTATTATTACAAAAAATATATAATTATTTAAAACAACATTTAATTTTGAGTTATTAAAAAATAGATCTTATATATTAAAAAATAATATATTTGTACTCGAGATCACAATATTATTTTTCATATTATATTATATTATATTATATATAAATATGATACTTGTGAAAATTATTTAAAATTATAAGTTTGATATACTAATTATATTAATTATATGTTAAATGTATTTTTTTCTTTAAACTTAGATAGTGTAATAATTAAAATATTTTTATAATTTTTCATTCAAATATTTATAATTTAATATTAAAGTTTTACTTGTTAAAAATATATATATTAGTAGGAAAATATAGTAAAATATGCATTCAAGTAATCTTATATTCCTTAAACCGAAAATTATAATCTTATATTCATGTTAAGTAAACCAAACAAGGCAATATAGTAATATTACATTTAGTTGATATTATTCTCGAAAGGTAATCTTACATTCCGTGAACTAAATTACTTCTATTGCTATGTAACAAATGTTTAGCTTGACCCATTGATTGGATATTGGAGTTATTAAAGTGGGTCTAAAGATTTAAAATTTTGGGTAAATTGTCCCAAATACCACTGATTTTTAGGTGATGTATTACCACTAAACTTTTAATTTCTTCAATTATATAAATTGAACTTTGATTTTAACTTTAATTATATCACTATGCCAAAGGTGAGATAATATGAACAAATCGATATCATGTTGGTGTGACTATTAATACCTAAAATGATATCGTTCTAGGCACTAAACTTTAAGGGTGTATTAATTTTACCATCAAACTTTTAAACATATCCATTTCGGACATTGCATATTTCCGTTCGTCGTTGGCAACCGATCACCGCCTGTCACTGGTTATCTTTCGCGAAAAGATTGATACTAAAACGTTCACATTTCATTTTTTTCTCATATGATTTGTTTTCCACGAAACCCACTTAAAATTGACGAAAGATCATTTAAAAGTTCAACATACAATACTTTGATATCTTCCAGTAACTATCTGGTAAGGCTAACTTTGAGGTATGTTGTTCACCTTCTCGAAATAATGCTTCTTAGTGTTCGAATTTTTGGACAAACGCCTCCAAATCCCTAAAACCTAAGAAAGTCCTTAAAATCCTAAAAATTACATTTTTCTTTTCTTTTCTTTTCGTTTATTTTCTTCGATTTTGAGTGAATTTCGTGAAAACTAATCTTATAAGAAGCAAGATGAGTGAAATGTGAATATTCTGGTATCGATATTGTTGTGAAAGACGATTGGTGACAAGTAATGATTGACTATCGGTGACAAGCGATGATTGACTATCGGTGACAGGCAATGAGTATTGATTAATTGTTAGCAATAGTCGAGAAAGCGCGAACCATGCAATGTCAAAAGTGGACATGTTTAAAAGTTTTATGGCAAAAATGATACAACTTAAAGTTTAATGCATAAAATAACATCATTTTATTTATCAATAGTTGTTGTTAAAACGGTGTTGTTTTATCAACATCATCATAATGACAAAAATAACTGCCCACGTGACATACTTGAAGTTAAAACTAAAATTTAATACTATAATTATAGAAATTGAAAGTTCATTAATATAAACAATATACTACCTAAATTTTAGTGGTATCTAGTGTAGTTCACCCTAAATGTTTATTAGTGCATGTTTTACCTTTTTATACCCGTAGGGGGGTGTGATGTATTATCATTTTAGATACCTAATGACTTGGTAGTGAATACTCAAAATGTATAGAATATGGTTTTAAAAAGAGTTGACAGAATACTTTAATTTTCTTTTAATATTTTATATTCCAGAATGAAAGTTGACAGCGATGGAAGGTCGAAACGAATTATTTATAAAAATATTCGGGCAAACCAAACTTGAACAGCCAAACTGAATTTTGACCCAAAACTAAGGCTTCATTAGTTGACAAAGTAATTAAGAATAAGGGACCGAAGTATTAAGCTCCGATCAAGTGTATTTTCATTATTTTAAAAAAAATTATTAAATTTAATTTAATGTATTAATAGAGAAAAATAAAAAAAATTACATATTAATTATTTTTTTTAAAAAAAAAATTTACACTGTCATTCTTAAATTTTTAAATTCGTGAATGCTAATAACCTAAAATAATTAACACGTTTGAAAAGAAACCTATGGGTCGAAGCCGAGGAAGCAAAATATCTTATTTTCCGGTCTTTGTTTTTATTTACTTACAAACGGAAATATCGTGAGTTTATTATATAGTAAGGAACTTCATTATTTATTATTTAATTAGAACCACCATATATTCTTTCGTGATAAACATGGATTCAAATATAATTAAATTAATATCACTTCAATTTATGATAATAATAATAATAATAATAATAATAATCAAACTTGAGTGAAAGAGGAATCTACTACTTTCTAATTCATGTGGAAAATATTTAAAAATATTACAACTTACATATTTATAAATTCATGAACGGACTCAAGATTTTATGTTAAGAGACGAACTAAAATTTTAAGAGACGAAAACATATTTTCAATTAAAAATACATATAAAAAATTTAAAATATATGATAATTTTAAATTTTTAGATAATATACCTATATCTCAAACATATTATTCTCACAAGTCAAAACTCAAAATCATTCATTTGGATTTAAAAAAATGTAAAACAAACATTAATTTTATTGTTAAAATAATAATAAATGGATTTAATTTTTACAAAAAATCAACATGTAATGCAAATGCGAATGATTATTATTATTTTTTTAAAAAAATAACAAGATATCATATTAAAATGATACGTGTACCAGCTATGATAATTTATAACACCCAACTCTAACACACCGGCTGGTAAGTTCCTACTTGCCAACGTAGACAAATGATTTGATATTTCGAACAGAATTTGTTTACAGATCCTAAGCGACACCGTTGGTATTATAGAAACATAAGCGGTTGCCGGCTGCGGTAGTTTTTGTTCAGTTCATCAGACAAAAATCGGCCACAGAGCATAAAGACGGTGAGTTCCCACCTTCCGATGTAACATTTGTCACCCCACTTTGTCGTTAACTGTAACAATCAATTCCTCGGAAACCGACTGCTGTTTTCTGACATTCACTTGTCTGTCGCCGCGAAATTTCCCCCCGGCTTTGATCCTCTTGTCTTTATTGACTTTGGGATTCTTAAAACTGATTTCCCTTTTGTACTTAACACCCAAGCTTCCTATTCATCTCCGTATCCGAAGAACTCAATTATCTGTGAAAATTCCAGATTTTCCCTCACTTGTTATTGGAATAACAACCCTTTTCTTGTTCCTCATAATTTGCTTTATATCTTCCTTTTGAAGTTCTTCAGTTTTGGAATTTGAACTTATTTGAACTTGAAATTCCTTTTTGGTATTGTATTTCTTATGGGTTTTTCCCCCAGGACTAATTCGTTTACTAGTGGAGCTGAAATTCTCTGGAGATTTTGAGCTGTTTAACTTGTGATGGTTTCCTGTGCAATTTCTTCATGGACCTTAACGGGTCTTGTAAGATCTTTTCTTGATCTTACTCTAGCTTATTTCCTTCTATGTGGATCAACCTTGGGTTATTTTGCTTGGAAATTCTGTGATGTTTTTGGTATTCACTTACCCTGTCTTTGTTCTGGGTTTTTTGGGTACCAAAATAGCAGCCTCTGCTGGCATAACCTGCTTATTCAATGGCCAAGAAGAAAGATATGCTCTGTTCAAAATCTGGCTTTGAATAGGTTCCCTTTCGACTCGGTTTCCTTCAACGACCGAACCTTGAATTCGAACGATGTTAAATTCGGTAACGGGGTCATTGAATTGGAAGGTGAAGTATGTTCTACTTCACTTTCAGCTGTAAGATTGCAAACTCTGGTGGACAAAGATAGTGTATATGATGCCAAGGGAAAACGAACCTTGAATCAGAAGCAGAAATTGGGAGCTCGGAGGCGGCGGAGGACTGCTTTCGGTAATGGAAAGCCTTCTCCAATATTATTGTCCGATAATTTCCCATCATCTATTTCAGGTGTTTCATCTTCTTTGTATATTAGTGGCGGTGAAACAAGAAGTGTAATTAAGAATAATTTCTGTCCAGTTGCTGAAATTGAAGATAGTTTACCTGGTATGTTAAATGTATCTCCTGTAAAATCTTTATACTGTAATATATATATATATATATACATTCCATATTGGTATTTTTAGCTTCGACCATTTGACTGGTGAAGTTTCATTGCTTTTTCAAGATCTGATATATTTTATTAGCATTACATGTGTGTTGACATATGAGAACATGCTATTTCAGATGATAAAAATACTCAAACTGGCACGGATATAGGTGATACAACCCGGCATGGTTTTGGACTGAGCAGTGGAAAGGAAAAAGGATCGAATTTTACGAAAAAATCGACATGTATCGACTCTAATGAGAAACCAGGGTTTAATGGAGGTGAAGCGAATCGGATCAGAATGTTGGAACAAGCTCTTGAAGAAGAGAAGGATAAACTTGCTGCTATATACCTGGAGTTGGAGAAAGAAAAGGCTGCTGCCGCTTCGGCCGCTGATGCAACCATGGCAATGATTTTGCGGCTACAAGAGGATAAGGCTTCTATACAAATGGAAGCAAGGCAATATAAAAGGATGATGGAAGAAAAAAATGCTTATGATGATGAAGAGATGAACATTCTAAACGAGATACTTGTTAGGATGGAGAAGGAGAATCACCTATTGGAGAGAGAACTAGAAGCTTACAGGCTAGGAGACAAGCCAGAGGAATGTGAATTTAGTTATACTTTGGGTAAAGAGGCACAACAGCCTTCGATTCAACTTGGACGAGGTGAAGATTCACTGGTGATGGTGAAACAGGCGGGGAATAGTGGATCGAGTGACGAGAAGGAAGTGGGAACAGTGGATCATGATGACATAGCCTGCCAAGAAATTGCAACCAAAATGGTCCAAGGCATCGAGAAAACTTCTTCAGCTGCAGAAGAGGAGCTCAAGAAGAATGCGGATTTTGGCAAGCCACTAGACTGTAACCTACATCTACAACATCCCACGTCTGACGTGGAGCCGGCTATCTATGATGTCCATGTTGTTGATGATAAATTAGACATTTCGGAGGAGAACTCAAAAGAAAGTAAAATGCCATCTGATTCTGCTTTAGATCACAAAACCTCGCTATATAAATTTCGCAGGACTTTCTCTGGGGTCAGTAATGAAATGTTGGCCATTGGTGCTGAAATCGAAGGCCTTAGAGAAAGGTTACAGATTGTGCGAGGAGAAAAAGTGAAGCTTACTTTCTCATCAGATCAGAGGAAAATGGTCGATACCCATTTGAAACAAATCGAGGAGCTGATGAACCAGCTTCGGGAATTTCAGCAACTGAAGGAGCCTGTTCGACAGGCTTCTTTACCTCCTTTGCCTTCATCTTCCAAGGTATGCCCTTCTCAATTTGACCGTCCTTAATTATATAAACCCAGGACCATCTCTTGCATGCTTGTTGGTTATATCTTATGTCATGCTGTTATTTCGGTTACCTATAAGGATTATTTGTATTGCTGCAACATCTTTATAATTGCAGAACGCCATGTCTGCATGAAAAATGGACAACCGTAATGAATGTCAACTGTGTTCACTTAACCTGTAAAGCAAGCAAAACTGATCATGATTTTCAGATAGTAACAAATGATAGCTGCTAGTTAAGGTGCCTTTTTGGTAGTATGTACGTGTCGTTTTAGGCTTTTTGCTTATACCATTAATGCTTAATTGCAGGGTCCTCCTCCATGCCATAGAAAACTTCTTTTACAAGTAATTTAACAATCTATGAGTCAAAATGGCTCGAAAATCAAATAACTCACACACCTCTTTAGGATAATGTTAGGGCTGTTTTTCCATTTAAAAGGGTCGGTATCAAAGCGGTTGGAATGTTGAATAGAAGGGGACCATATAATCACCCTCTGAAATTAATGCACAGCTCAAAGTAAGCATATAAACTACGATTGATAATTCCTCTACTTTCAGGTCGTTTCTAACAGGAGACGGTGCCGGAGCGTATCCGATGAAATCGAAGATGGTGCCTAAAGCCACCCCATGTATGGTAGCCTGTCGAATCCGGGAAGAAAACCGCCGCCTCCTTGCTGGTTTGTGTCAAGTGTCTTTTTCAGACAATTTGTTTATTGAAACTGTAAAGTCCATAAAGAAGGTAGTTGATGTTTGTTGGTTGCTGAGAAATTGTACGCAAAACTGTGTTAATATATTACTAGTTTTTTTCAATTAAAAAGAGTGAAAGCTTCAATCAAAGAGATTGCCCCCTCCAATAAATGAATGATGGATTTGTGAATGATCATTACAATTTTTGGGGTTCGGGTCCATTAAAATTTTAAAACAGAAACTAATCCCGCCCACCATCACCGTCGGAGACGGCCGCTCCCCTTAACCCCTGCCGTCCCCACTTCTAATCCCTCTCTCGAGAACACTTCTCTGAGTTTTGAACCCCAAACGCCCAACCAATGTCTCATTCAACGGCGGCGGCCGACACGAACGCCGCTAAAAAACCCCAACCCCTTCCTAGGACTCACCAGGAAACCCCCAACCTAATCCAAGCCTACCAAGAGAAATGGTATTCTCTCAAGGCCGACCAATGGGAGGAAGTAGCCTTAACCGTCGCCTCTCGTTGCAGCCTCTTCGACCACCCCGCCTCCAAGACCACCGTCCGGTGCCGTTACAAGATGGAGAAACTCCGCCGCTGTACCGCTCCGAACGCCAGGGACTCTCTTCGAGCTCCCCTTGGCCTTACTACGACGCCATGGAAGCGCTGGAGCACGGGACTTTGCCTTTCTCGACTCGACCATTGCCTTCTATTGTTCCAACCAGAGAGAGAGAGAGACATTTATCCCGATCATAGGCATGAAGCTGGAAATAACTACTGTAACGATGAAGAAGAAGAGGAGGGGGACGACGATGAGGAGGAAAATTACCAGTTCAATAAAAGCCGCAGTATCAATTACATTCTACGTCGACCAAGTGTTGTGAACCGGTTCTTGGGGCGGTTAAGCGGTGGGAAGAAGAGGGTCAGACCGGAAGAGGGGGGATGGTGACGTGGGGGTTGTGGGAATGGAGGAAGAAGACAAGAGAGTGGGCTTAGCAGTGGAAATAAGGAGATTTGCAGATAGGTTTGAGAGGATGGAAAGGCAAAAGATGGAAACAATGCATGAAACTGAGAGATTCAGAATGGAAATGGGGAACCAAAGGATTGAGAAGATACTGCATTCACAGGGGAGAATTGTGGATGCCATATCAGCCGGTTTCGGGTTAAACAAGGTTGAAGATGATTTGGATTCCTCCAAAGGTTGAAAACTGTCTGCAATTCCTTGTTCTATGCAGGTTCGGGGTTCGTACAGAATCTTTAATTAGATGGAACTAACAAAATTTAACTGCAAATGTTGAGATTTGCATTATCATGGATCATGGATCCAGTTTTGAAACTGTTCTTGTCTAGCAATTTTACCAGTGTTTGATCTTGATATATACTTGCCATATGTGCTAATTCTTGCTCTAATTTAATGGCACCTTGTTGCCACTGCTATAATGCCTTGTCTATATGCTGATTGTAGTCCAGAACCGAAGCCAAGAATGCAAGTAAAAAACGGATGCAATTGATAGCCAACATTATGCTTCAGTGAAGAATGTCTAGTATAATTGAGCCGATTGGATCTTAGTTTGATTGACATTGTTTCTATTGTAACATTCTGAAAGGACGTGGTCTCATATTTGTAAAATGAAATTTGGATAATTTAAGCATCGTATTAAAAAAAAATAGCAGTCGAATTCTGTTATTATCCAACAGTCGAAACCTGCTACAAGACAACAAAATCAATACACTTTGAACCCCCTCCCCAAACCACAGTCGAATAGCCTTCCTATACACTTTGGCTCGAACAATCCCTTTAATAATATCTACAACCTCACTCACACCCCAAACACCCTTAAACTACCTGTAGTTTCTTTCTTCCCAAACACAATAGATGTGAGCACTCCAAGCCATTCTCAAAATGTACGCCAGAAGCAATTTTCCCTTAAACCGAGCAACCGCCCGTCCAAGCTCCTCAGTCCTACAAATGTTACACACCCTCAAAACAACCTGCCAAACCTCCCTTGGGAAAACACTCAAAGAAAATATGATCCCGAGCATTCTACCACAACTCATCATAGTTCCTACAACCAACCTCCACATTCATTTCCATTCTGAGCAACCGATCAACAGTGGATAGCCTGTTTGGTACTGTCATCCAAGCAATGGTAGAGTGCTTAGGGACATTCATGGAAACCAAATCAACTTTTGCCACTCACCCTTGGCCCGTCTCACCCTACAATCACCTCGTTGTTATCCTACCCCCAATCAAAGTTGCCTGCAAACAAAGGCCTAACCTCCTCCCTCAACTTCATAATCTTCCTCAAGACCTAACAGAAATAAAGTTCACAAACAACCTGCCAGAAGTATACTCCCTTAAACACAGAAGCCCGGACCCAGGCCACCCATAAGGAACCTTTATTAGCAAGGATATTTTTCATCAACGAGAACACACAAGCTTTATTCCAGCGTATCAGGTCCTTAATCCCAACCCCTTCAAATTTGGGAACACAAATGCAATCCCACTTAACCATAGCCCCTTTGCAAGCACATCATCACCCTTCAAAAAAAACCAAGAACAAAGCTGCTCCACTCTCCTAATAACAGCAGAGGGCAACACTAACTTCCTACACCAGAAATTAGTAATGCTATGAAGAACTGCACCAATCAGCTGCAACCTGCCATCAAAACTAAGTCCAATTTTAGCTTTAGTCTTCTCCATCACAAGCACAATCTCTCTCTGCTAGCTTCCTAGGGACTAAGGGAACTTCAAGGTATCTAACAGGTAAAGATCCCTACTTAGACACAATAGCCTTATGAACCAGGGACATCTTAAACCCATTTGACAATCAACACTTAAATATTATGTAGTCTCTGGTGCTCAAACCTGGAACCTCTAAGAATAACAATTATTATTTTAACTATTGAGATAGTTTGGTTCGTGTGATATCATATCATATATTAAATAAGTTGATATAAGATTTTTAGATTTTTTTAATCATAAGTATATTGTTAGATTTTTTGTTAAAAACTTTAATACACAATTATATAAGCACGAACCAAGTGATATCGGTGATAAATGAATTATTGTTTTTCCTTGAGGTCTCAGGTTTAAGCACCAAGAATGTCAGAGGTACAAGCGTTAAATGCCAAACAATTAAAAATTATCTTTAAACATATACTACTTTGTACTTACATTATATTAATAAAAACAAATAAAATTTTCATATCATATTTGTATATTCAATCAATTAGTATATGGTTTTATGATTTTCCCTAATCTGTTCAAATTTTTGTTAAAAACAAAAAGTTATATAGTTTATTTATTTGTTTGATAGATTTTCTAAATTATTTAGAAAATTATAAATTTTTAATTAATTAAATTAAAAGATACTAAATATTAAAAAACCATAACGATTAGACATTATAACAACAACAACAATAATAATTACACATTTGGTCATCATTTTTGAATTCTTATCTATCAGACTATCCAACTATTTAAATACATTCAATCAAGCCACACATAAGTGATGACGTGATTGTTAGTAAAATTGATATAATTACAAATTTGGTCACTGTTACTTATATATATTCTTTCAATTTGGTCCTAATTTAAAAAAAATCAATTAAATTTAATCTTCGAATTAGATTAATACCACATGACACTAATACCAAATATCATCACATGTGCCATCACCTTATTAAAGGATTTAATTTATTTTAATTTAATAGATTTACTTTTCACCATTTAGAGGATGACACACGTCACCCTCCGGTGAAATTTTTTTAAGGTATTAAAATTAAGGGAGTGTGGGATTTGAACCTAGGACACATGGGAGCTAAAACTCCCTCATAACTATTTGGCTAAGCAAACTTTTATATCTAAAGTAGACCACATATGGTATATATTTTGTATACTAGTCTAAATTTAAATTCATAATATTTTATACTACATATAAACTTAAATTCACATAATATATTAAATTAAATTAACATCTTAACATTAAAAATATATATTTTATTTTTATCTTAAATTTTAAAATATTTTAATTTTTATCTTCACCTATTTTTACCCCTGTTTGTTCAGTTTCGATGCTGGATGCATGTCTTGCACACACTCCCATGTCCAGTGGTTGAGAGGGAGTTTTATCTCCCATGTGTTCTAGGTTCAAATCCCACGCTCTCCTACTTAATTTTTTTCCAAGTATCTAGTGTAAGGGGACATGATCTGATTTAAAGATTAAATTTATTTAAAATTTTAAAAATTAGGATCAATTGAGAGAATATATAAGTAACAATAACTAAATGTGTAATTATATAAATTTCACTAACTTCCACATCAATACTTTCGTTTAATGTTAACGGCATGCATTATGATTGAATGAATTTAAATAATTAGATGGTCTGATTGATAATAATTAAAAATGGTGTTCAAAATAAAAATTGTATATAATTGGGTGGTGTCTGATATTGTTTACCCAATCAGATGTGCTTGGTGAATGACACTACCATCTCACCCTCAGTCCTCGCCAACCCCCACAGACCACGTCAAAGTGTGATGGCTCAATATTGACCTTACCAACTAGCCAACCAAACCTACTCCTCTTTTGTTTCCCTTTGTTTTTTATTTAGTTTTTTTTTGGGGTCAACCTCACAGCACACGGAGCTTGTGGCTACTACCCAACCACAAGAGAAGAACAGTATATTTTGCCATATATTTTGGGTTTAGTTTGATCACCAAATCTGTGCTCTTCATCACCATCTTCTTCGTTTCTTCTTTAAAAAAGCAAAAATGGAGGGAGGAAATATGGGTGGAGAAGTAAAGGTCTACACTTTGGCCGAGGTTTCTCAACACAACCATGCTAAAGACTGTTGGCTTGTCATTGAGGGCAAGGTAAATGCTTCTTTTACTCGGTTCAAATTTCATTGATAACCCATGGTCTTGGATTTATTTAAGAATGGTTTCTTTCTTTCGCTTACATTTTTGCAAAAAAAAAAAAAAGATTTCTTTTTTCAATTTGATTCTCAAGTTGCAGGCTTTGGTTTTTGAGAGTTCTTGGATCTGGGTTAGATTGGTGTCCCCCCTCGCTCTCATTTGATTAATATGTGTTTTTTGTTTGTTTGAAAAATTGATTTGATTATGATCAGTGATCATAAGAAAATTCTGAATCCCAGTGGATTGATATCTCTTAGAGGCTGACGGCTTATATACTCTGCATATTTGACTTATCTCTAGAAGGCTATAGCCCTCAAAAGAATCCATCTTCAGTATGAAAACTGAAATTTTCTACCTTTTTTTCTTCTTCTTCTTCTTCTTCTTATTTGTGGATTATTAGTTAGATTCAAAACAATCATCTTCAGTTCCAAAAACAATCTTTTGCTTAGATCTCTTACTATCTTTGTTTTAATTTCACCCTTAGATGCACTATTTTTTTGATGAATTCTGCATGTTTATTTCCCTTCGGTTTGCGGAGCATACTTGTTGGTCCTTGGTGTAAGAACGTTTCCCTTCAGTTTGTTTAGTTATTAGCTTAATCCAGAATGGTGGTTTTGGTCATTAGTATGCCGCTTCACTGCCATTAGACTTAGTTTGCCCTTAAAATGCAATTTTGTTTTGTGAATCCTGCATCATGGACCTTGCACGGTGTATTTCTCTTGGTGATTGGTGATACCTTTCATCAAGAGGGATTGCCGGGTCGGTTTTTTTGTGTGTTTTCCATAATTTGCAGAGTACTTGTCGGTCACGGGCATGTACGAGTGTTTTCATTGTTGATCGGCCTTTTTGTTCCGTTTCTTCGAGAATTTAAAAGTTGGCTATGGTGTTTTAGTTGGCTGACATCTTTCTATTGATGATTAATTCGAAGAATATGAGAATTGTAGTAACAATGTTCGCACCTTGCAGTATCGTACTTGTTGGTAGATGTGCTTCGGATGAGAATGACATGAAAATTTTGTATACGCATTGAATGCTTTACATTTGCGTTTTGATCTCCTAAAAATTCATCATCTTATGTTTGAACAGGTATACAACGTGACCAAATTCTTGGAAGATCATCCCGGTGGCGATGATGTCTTGCTGTCTTCCACAGGTAAGACGGATATCCGCAATCTCTCGACTCGTTTTGTATAATCTGATGTTGTAGAAAAACGGACATGTCCTTGTTTGATGTATGGTTGGCAGGGAAGGATGCAACCGATGATTTCGAGGATGTTGGTCATAGTAGCAGTGCTCGAGCAATGATGGACGAGTTTTACGTGGGCAACATCGATACATCGACCATTCCCACCAAGAAAAAATACACTCCTCCCAAGCAACCTCACTATGACCAAGACAAGACCTCGGAATTCGTCATAAAGCTTCTCCAATTCCTCGTTCCCCTGCTGATCTTGGGGTTGGCCTTCGGCGTCCGCTTCTATACCAAAGCACCGGCTTCATCTTGAGACCCCGAAAGAGGATTCAAACGATATTCCCAATAAAATTTACGCTAGTTTAAATTTATTTGGAAGTTTTACATACCGTGGGATAATGATAAATGGTTGGATATTTTCATTCAAACATTTGTTTAAATGAATCCGACGATCGATTCATCCTGGATTGTGATATTCTGATAATTGCCTTTTCTCCTTGTGTTTGTCCAGTATCTCCCTTTTCTATGATCAACGTTCAAATGAATGTCCATTCATTCATGCATGCGGTTCTTCATTAAAACTCATCCAAGGCAAAATAGCTAATCATTTCATATTGCAAAATTGCAAAATAAATTACATACATATTCCATAACTCATACATCAAATTCCACTCAAGTCTTTTAATCATTCCAGAATTTTCATTGGACTGGAAGCAAAATATGCTTTTTTCATAACCATATCTAAGTGAACAATACGAATACGATCGTATTTCTGAACAGCTATACTTGAATGCTTCACTAGCCTCATATATTTCTGAACAGGTGCGGGCCACATCTGGATTCGTATAACGCTTTGGATGTTGGAACGGGCCCCGAATCAACTGCATGCGGCTACTACTGCCTTCCTAGCAGTCACCTTTGCCTCCTCCATTCCATTTCTAGTGCAATATCTGACAGTAGCAAATCCCGCGGTTCGAAAGCCATCACCTTTTACCTTCGACTCCGGAAAGTCAGCAAATCAGTCTTATTGCAAAGTCTTCTCCAATAGTAAGAGCATATTCAATTACACTAAGAGCTCCCCCGGTGGTAATGCCGTTGCTTCTGATCTCTGCTAGCAATGACATTCGAGGAAAGACTAGACCGGGTACAGGGAAAGCTACTCTTCACCGGAAATAGTAAGAGCCGCGAAAAGGCATTCTCTTGAAAGTTTTCAGTAATCGTCTGCGCGACTCACTAAAGGATTTTCACTTAGCCCAGCCGCTTATCCAACTGCAACCCTCACTCTAATAAAGAGCATTTTCCTCGTCAGAAGGTTTTTCCCTCAGTTCAAAATCTTTTCTAGTTTTAGTCTCATCAAGGAAGCTTTTCTTTACCGGGATTGGCTTGTGAAAAGGCTACTCTGGAAAGGCGGACTTGAAAGGCCGTCCATCCTCTCACCCGAACGCGCTTTGTACTCTCTCTACCATTGCACTCGTTGGGCGTATTCCCACCTTACAGCTAAAGCTGGGGAAGGAAGATGGAACTCTCACTCCCTCATCTTGTCCAAAAGAAAGTCGAATTTAGCCAAAGATTCTTCGCCCCAAGCGGTCTGAGCATTCGTGAGAGCCCCCACTTCTTGTACTTAGTTCCTTGTCCATTCGGAAACAGAGGGGTCCTTTTCATCTGATGTTCCCCCTTTGAGGTTTCAGGACCCTTGTCCAAGATTCAGAGCTATAGCCGCTGTAAGTTCCCGAAGCAGCTACTTTCGAAGTAACAGAAAAAAAAGCAACGACTGGAGTGGGAGAATCAGAGTCGAAAAGAAAATTCCTCACTTCTTTCTCTCATTCAAAACCGTGCATGAGACTTTCATCTCGCACGGCTCCTAAGTGATAAAAGTAAAGAACTTATCTTCTTCTTTTTTATTACCTTCCTACGTATATATAAGATCGAACCCATTCGATTTCTAAAACAGATTACTAATCCTTAACTTTTCGAGGAATCCTTCATCAGTGGTTGTGAACGACTGATTTTTCTCAATCTTTTCAACCTTGGTTCCGTAGGAGCAAGTCAGAAAGATTGAAAAATAGAACCATCTGATTTGATTCGTTCTCAATAGCCATGAGATGATCATCTTAGGGTGATCCTTTTGTCGATGGATGCTCCTATTACACTCGTAGTCTCTGAAGGATGAGAACCAACTATATAGCATCTACATCAAAAATTCAAGTATTGTATACGTCATTAGTCCGATCCTTTGTAGGAACTACCCGTAATAATGAACTTGCAAAATGGATCTGTTTATCATAAAGAGAATCGTTGTTCCTGACCCTTCTTCACCTTAATTGTTACTTGAACAAGTCAAAGTTATGTCTTGGTCTGAGTGGGGATAGCATTTCTCTTCTGCATGTCTATTGAGTTTTGAAAAATCCAAACATCTAAGAGATAAATAGAGAGGTAGGAATTTATCGAACGAACCACACTCCTTCGTGTACGTCAGGAGTCCATTGATGAGAAGGGGATGGTCCAATACCGGAATTTCCGGTAGAGCGGGGTGAAGTTCCGGAGCTTCCAGAGGTTCTTCCGGTGAGGAGTAGATATATCTTTACTTTATAGGTTACGGGGATAAATTTTGGCTTTAATTTAATGACTCCTCAATGACCTCTCAGGTAACCTAATCAAAAAGCAGACGGAAAGCTCTAAAGTTAAGTTAAAGACGGAAAGCTCTAAAGTTAAGTTAAAGACGGAAAACTCTAAAGTTAAGTTAAAGTCGGAAACATAGGGGGGTTCTGAAGCTTAGGAGACAGTTTCACTTTCGTTAGATTGTGCGGCAACGTGAGCCAACGTCACAGAAAGGAGTCGGAGTCCGGTTCCATCAGAAGAGGACTCAGTCTCCTCACTGAGGTCTCAGTCAGAATCGTCAGAAGCTTCAGCTAGCTCATTCCCTTCACAACGTGGGTTAGTTTTATTACCCGCAATGACTACGATCGATTCATCTCCAGTCCTTTCCGTCGTATAGACAGTGAATGGCGGAAATTAGGGCAGCCCTGGCCCGTCAAAATGAGATTATAGCACAAAAACAAAGAGGCGCCGAGATTGCAGCCCCCAAAACCCAATTAAATGCAGCCCCCCTACATCTGAAGAAATTTTGGCATAAAAAAGAGCTGAGTTGGCTGCTCTGGAAGCACTGATAGCAGCCTCAACTTCTGCACCTCCCGCTTTTCAGCCTTATGTTCCAGCTGCACAAGCAACAGCACCTCCACCTGCTCAGTCAGGTCCATCTACTTCCGCACAGTTTGTCACTAAGGAAAAATTGGATGAAAAATTCCGTTTAAAAAAGCCAAAGAATGCAGGAACAATCCAGCCTTATCGCAGTCCATATCCTCCATATCATGACACGGTTCCTTATCCACCAGGGTACCAAATCCAACCATTTTCTATGTTTGATGGGAGAGGTGGCCCTAAAAGACACTTATCTTATTTCATTACCATAGTATGGCAGAATGGTATGATTATACGACTAGAGAACAGATAACCAGGAAAGACAGAAAGGGAGAACCGACCGGGGCCTTGCCCTTACTTTAGCTTTAGGAAGAAATCCAGACTTTGGAGCTCAGCTTAGGGATCAGAGGTGAACCACCTAGTATGGAACACAATCAGTTAACTAAGACAATCGGAGTAAGCGGGCTATGAAGTTCACCCAGCGTTTAGGGTTTACCGAACTTAACTCGTGGAATGGCGATTCGGAGTTTAGTTAACGGGCTTGTTCAATCAATCTCATGTTCTTATGGCTCGTCCTATCCTATAAAGAAAGGGGATATACCATAACCATAGGGAAGAAAAGGTGCGAAAAATAAGCTTTTTCTGAGCATATATAGTGGTATAGTCTTAATGCGCAGGGGAAAGAAAACGGATGCGCCGTACTAAGCAAGAAAGGGGCTGCGCATGTATGTCCAATGTTTCGTAGACATAGTGATTTATCATTGTACGAAGTTCATCAATCGGTTTAACTTTCTATGTATATAGGAGAAAGGATGTAGTTCTCATTTGTTTTTCGCTCAAAGACGTTATATTTCTGAGCTTAATGCTGAGAAATACCTTCTTGTCATGCCCATCAGAAGAAAAATGACAGCAAGTTACTTCATTGTTTCTGGCCTGTATACAACCAACCTCAGCAAAGTGAAGCCTGAAATGGAGAATTTGAAGTAAGCATGCTAAAACAATGCATCAAAGGTAAAGGCATAAGATGCAATGGGTTTACCTTTAGCAGACTCCTTTTGGTGCTCAGTAGGACATCGTTTAATGGTACCATAGATGTCCCTTCCATCACTGTCATGTGAAAGTAGTGACTCCATATTTTCATCCAAAGGATCAATCCTATCCATGTCTTCCCGCATGAGATAACGATGCTATAAGAAATTAGAAGTAATTTCAGCATTTTATTAACTTGCTCACCAAGAAAGGATTTAAGAAACACATGTTCAAGATAATCTTATCACCATTTACTCTTTCCTTTTCAGATATATATATATGCATATATATGTCTATTATATTATATTTTGATTTCTCTATTATATTATATTTTATTTAGATTTTACTTTAGGCCCCACATAAAATTAAAATTATTGAAGGGCTAAAGACGTAAATTAAATTATAATTTCTTAAAAAAAGGCATAATAGGGATTCTCCACTGCATGTTTAAACCATATTCGTAAATTTTTATAAATTTAACCCAACAATAATAATATTTATATAATGTTAATATTCTAATATGCTTATATATATACACACACATGTTATCTAATTTTTTAGGATTTATTTAATTGAAACTTCAAATTCATTTACCTAAAACTTAAGTTATTACCCCCACTAAAAATTAATATAAATATTAAATTGAAAAGTAAAATGAGGATATAGTTTTAAGAATATGATCATCTTGAAATAATAATTTCTTTCTTTGAGTTGGGATCCTGAGGTCGAGAGTTCGAGCCTCTCTCACACCAAAAAAGATAGTTTCAGGTTTAAGAGTTTTAACAGTTGTTGGTAAATCGATTCAATTGGAAATATACCACTCTGCAAGTTTGTGTCGACCAATCGGAAATTCACAAGGTCAAAGAATCTCTTGTTTAAAAGTGTGAGCATTCGATTGAGTCGAGTTATATTTTACAATTTGAAGTTAATTTGAAATTATTTTTTAATCGAATCGAATTTTTAAACTTTTATTTAAATTTAATTATAAATATTTATGATATTATGATATTATTTATTCTAATTTAAATGATATTTTTGTAACTATAAACAAATTTTCATATTTTTCATATATAATATACATTTATGATACAAAGTCGAATGACTCAACTTAAACTTAAAAATCAATCTATTAATTACTAAAATTTTTAAGTTATTCGAGTTGTAAAATTAATATTTTTGAATTATTCGAGTTGTATTTTACAATTCGATTTGAACTTAAAAAATTTTTGAGTCAAGTTTATAAAATTACAACTCGAAATTAATTCGAGTCGAGTCTAAAATATTAGTTTTTCTTTTTAAATCAAATCGAATTTTACTCGCTAGCGTCAAAGAATCT